CAGGAAAGCATTGTTAACTCAAATATGTAATTATAATACCATGAACATGTATAGATTGAACATGAAGACATTCTTACCAGCCTGTAACTATACACAGTATATATATATATATATATATATACATAGCTATACCCCTGGGCAGTGGGGTCTAAGTGACTTTTCATTAACCCTGTAAAGGGTCATTTTAGCACATAGTGGCTTAAGAAAATGATTTAAAAATGTGAAAAAGTTGCAAAGTATCCCTTTAAAATAGGTCTAACTATCCACAACTAAACAGAGTGCAACACAACAAGTTTTAAATAACAAAAATAAAGTAAGTATCAAGTAAGTATTTATAGACTTGCCTATTTACAGGTAAACAACTTAGAAAAACTAAGACAATAAAATTTGTAGAGCCTGATGAAGAGATTTTTGCTTTGCATAGTTCACACTCTTCCTTTAAATTGTGCATATTAGTAAAATGTATCCAAATCTGGTCCTCACCTGTCTGTAGCCTGTTTTTTCCTCCCCTTCCTCACCCTCCTCCTCCCGCATTTCTGTGAGTTTACACCAGTGCCTGTCTCTCCTCGCTCCTCCTCCTGCTCGCTGCAGATGAGCAGCAGAGGACTCATCAACGAATTGACCAATCACGTGCGGCTTAAACACGGAGAGAAAGGGAGCGAGAAAGGGGAAAAAATCTCCGACTTGGCTCCCCCGAGACGGAGCCAACTCTAAGAGCCATTTTGTTCACAAACGACACATCACTAACAACTTTTCACTCCAATTGGCTGTCTCAGTCCTGAGCCTCAATGTCTGGGTTGGCATAGAAAAATCAACGGAAAAATAGACTTAATGCGAAAGGTATAACCCGACAAATTCACATGAACCTTGGAAACCGGCAGTTGTACCACAAAGCTAGAGCATCTCTAAGTGCTAGAAACATTGGGTTATGCACAATGATGTAATATTGTCATCCATCATAATGTAATATTAAAACAGTGGCTGAATATTTTAAAACACTACATTATTTGGAGGAGCCAGTGGACTTCTTGACAGTTGACAGAGTTGAGGTATAGGGAGTAGGCCTGTTGTGATATGAGATGTTCGCGGAAAAGATGCAATATGTCATCAGAACATCCAAAAAGCAGCACTAGGATGCACCTGCTACACAAACAGAAGGTGAGTTTTTCCCCGTCTACACTGACTGAAAGGTTGATTCACATCTCTCTCAGATGGACCTCGGTCGCAACACTACTATTATTGTTAAAACCTTAGGCACTCGAGGAGTACAGACGCTTCCCTCTTTCGCTTCCTTATTCCCAAGGCTCTTTGTCCTGTCTGCCCACAGAGCGCTTCTCTGCATTTCTTCTGAAAAACCCTATTTTTAACCATAGATTTGATAAACTGGTCATTCAATGCGATCGATAAGATTTTTTTCAATAATGAGAACGGAGCAGGGGGCTCCCACAGGTCCACAGGGGACACACCCGGTGGCATATATCATATATGCTGGATTCCTGGAAGGAGTGGAAGATCATATGCCTCTCCCAGCTGTCCATTGAGGACATCGAAGACGTGTGGATATTCGGCCTGATGATCACTGGATTTCTCCTGATTGGAGTGGGAGGATATCTGGTTTTCTGGAAATTTGGGAAGACGGGAGTGATTGGAGGGCGACCCGCACCCACGGAAAGCACTGTCCGTGTGGAGACTTCTCAGACTGGGATGTTACTCGAGGTGAATCGTAAGCTGGACAATGTTCTAGCTGCGATACCGGTATTAGTGCGCAAAATGGATGTCATCTCGGAGGGAGTCACCGGACGGTATGGACAGGTTTAAAAACCCAAAATTGGCTTCACTGAAGGACTGGAATGATCAGTTTAAAGACTGAAGGCAGAGAGGAAAATTATCTCAGCCTGACCCGAACAAATTCTTGTTATCCGAATCTGACGCCCTGGTAGGCTAAATGGGAGGTGGCCACCACCGCCATTTTGACCGTGTCACAGGTTCCGTCAAGCCCAGACAATTCCAAGAAAGGGAAGAGAGGTGGAGCTGAGTGTGGGGCTGTAAGGCTGGGATCAACTGACCACACCCGGTCGAACTAGCTACAAGCTAACCTGAAGCTAACCCAAAGCTAACGCGGAGATGGGAGCTAAGCTAACGGAGGTAGCAACCTAGCTACAACCGGAGTTAACTGTGCACAACACCAGAGCTTCTGAGTCAGAGATACGCCGGGCTGACCGCTGGGTAAAACCGGGTGGAACACAGAGGTCTCCGAGAGCTCCGCAAGCCGGCAGCCGCACAGCAGACAAGCGCTGCTGCGATCTGAGATGCGCCGAGCTGCGGGGAGGGGAGAACGGGTGGAAAACATCGGTCTCCCGAGAGCTCCACAAGCCGATAGTCGGAACCCAGCTCCACCAACATGTTATATTTCAACCCATTTTCTAAAGTGCAGCATTATGTTAAATGCACTGGGTTTTACCCTATTACATTTAAATTTCATGGTTAAACAGTATATGTTCAAATCTAAGCTCAGCTCGGCAGTGACCTAAAATACATAAATATAATTTTACTTACCGAAAAAAATGAAGTGGAGACTCCTTGGACGCTCTATTAGTGCAATTAATGCCACAGCAAGTCATTTTGTCCAACAATTGCACAAATAATATCCAAAAAAGAATACACAAACACAGAGACTCAAAATCCCGGAACAGTTTCCAAGCCAGACCGAGGCTCTACTGAGGCCTTTCCACGGAGCTAGCTCTGTGGTCACGTGGGTCTGATGCTCATTAATTATACAGAATTTTAGGCTTTTAATACACTTAAACAGAAGAGTGGGAAAAAAATTCACCCCCCTCAGAGTTGTCATGAGTGTAAGCTAGATCATTTAAACCAAAAACATGTTTTGGTACCAGGCTGTAAACATGTTTATTTCTGCTGTGAAATTGGTATTTTTAAAATGGGAGTCAATGACGATTTGCTCGCTTCTGACACCAGCCCCTAGTGGATGGGAGTGGAACTGCAATTTTTGGTACTTCCGGGTTGGCCTCAATTTTTGAGCCGCATTGTGGGGGCTTGCTTCAACCTTGCTTTCTGATTGGTTAGATATCACAGGCTGTTTGCTCTGCTGTGCTTAGAAAACACCATACATGACAGGATATGGGCCTAGCTAATCCAACGTGGTGGATTTTGTTGATTTCCTATTGGGGCGCCCCCGGCGTGCTTGCGAGACACTCTGCTCTTCAGACATCACTATCAGCAGGGTGGTCCCAAGAATCCTAAAAGCCCTCCCAACAATCAGGACCTGTATGAAGGGCAAAATCTGGCTAAATATCCTGCCATGCTTTAGACACCACTCAAGTGTCAGCACTCACAAACAGACTTGCATCACACAGCTGTGTGTTTACTATCAGTCTTTTCGAGTGCTGACCCTTTTTTTTAGTTTTAATTTTCAGCTTGCACTCAGTTTATTTATTTTTAGACTGGAGATGAGCATGCCATTTCCTTTGTTGTCTGTATTAAGACATTTCATGATATCAAACTCTCACTGTATGGTATTTGAACAGTAGCTCCATGGTATAATTTAAATTGCATTTTTCATATGTCAACAACAAAAACATTTGGTCAAAAAAAAACAGGTCATCATGCCTTTTTCATCACAAGCCTGTCTTCTCCACCCTCAGCTGCCTGTCTGCCCCCACCTCGCTCACTTTGTTCCTTCTTCGTCCCTCCCTCACCCAACCTGTTCACCTCGATCCTTCTGATTTCTGATCTTGTAAATAGTTCGAGACGTCCCTAAGCCTCATACTTCACTCACATGCTCTGGGTTGATGTATTTTAAACAAGAGCAAACATATACAGTTTTCACTTGACAGTTCATTGTTTATGTAAAATGTTCATTCCTAACCCTAACCATGAATCTGTTCACTGAGACGACATCGAGATGAGACGAGAAACCATAACCCGCAGCCTAAACTGTACCTTGAGGAAAAGGAACTTTTTGAAGACTGCTTGGTATGGCAAGATTTTAGTCATTTAAAAATCATTTTTTAATGATGGGGTAATTTTATTATGTAGCGTTGCGGTTGTGTATCGCAAGCACTTCTTTTCAAATTGTATTTTTCGTGCTGCAGTTACCGGACATTGGGCAGACAGCATACAGACAACAGCCACTGCACGTAATGGCATAAACAAACCTCTATACAAACATGCAGTCTGTCAGCATGAGGCAAAGGAATACATGTGATAATAAGTTATCACGGCGATGTCATATTGTTTACCTGCCCACGTTTTACGGCTTCCACTTGACTTTTGTGTCTGAAATGACATCTGGTTTGTTACAGATGGCCGTCTGCCCCTTTACACCGCCATTGCATATTCTTTTTGCGCTACAATACCGCCATGGTCTGACTTAAGACTCCCTGATGCCAGTTCAGCATTGTGGTAAATTGGCAGCATTGTTTTCTAAAAGAGGCAAGCGTTTATGGGAAGACTTCAGGGGTGTGAAGACTTTTTATATCCACTGTATTCTTGCCCTGATAATGAAGTCACTTTGAATGGTTCATGCAGTTCTTTATTTGTGTCTCACTATAATAATTTTGTTGTTGTTGTACGTTACATGCAGGAGGACAGCTGGAGTGATGTCAGTAACCATATTCTCAAAATACTTGTCTATGGTGCTGATGAGGATTCATGTATCCATCCTTGTCGAAGGCCATGAGATTTTGCCAGAGCGCAACTGTGTAACGAAAGCTTGCTCAGGAAACTGATATATACACTGAATTTTGCGTTACACTTATGAATGCTACCAAAAACTTGCTAGATCTGGGTGGATTTAAAATGTCCTCATAAGTAAACACCCTGAAGTTGGAACTGCTTTCATAAGTGCATGCATTTGTCATCTTAGAGGAGGAAAATGTGGCATCACAGACCCTCGTTGAGGAGCAAAAATCTGGTCACTCTGCAGCCTGCTGCTCTTAAACCCATCACATTAAATAATAATGAATAATAATGAAGCTCACTCATAGAAGGTGGTCCAGCCAATTTGGATGCTCTTGGTTGCCAGAAGGCCACTGTTTCCATGATAAGTCAGTAAAACCAATTCCTGACCCTGAGCTGTGAGAGACTTCAGACCTCCATTCGTCCCAATGGTCAGCCAGATCACCTATTCATACAAAAAAGACAAACCTCACATTCATACTACATAGTTCTTACACATTTGAAATGTTTGTCCCTGTTTATTAGAAAAAGGTCAGAAGATCTAACCTGATTGTCAGGGGCAACCACACGTACAGGCATCCTGTTGCTGTCTCTGCGAATTCGAAGAGTGTTCCCACTGCTGTCTGTCACAGCGGTAACATCTTCCTCATTGCTGGGAAAAGAAAAAGGAAAGTGTCAATATGAAAACTGAACTATACAGTGATCCCTCGTTACTTCGCGGTTCGTTTATGGCGGATTCACGACTTAGCAAATTTTTTCTTTGGAGCCTTATTCAAGGGAAATTCGCCGATTCGCGGTATTTTTCACCGATTCGCAGTATTTTTCTATGCGAAATATCAAGAAATTCCTGGTTTTTTCATCAATTTCATCATAAAATACACTTTTTGTAATAAAACTATAAAGAAAAACAAGTAAAAAAATTTTTTTCTAGAGTTTTACCCACAAAAAGAGAATGTGATCATACGATAACTCAATATAGTACTGTACTGTAAATATGGTGTCCCTACTTCACGGATTTTCACCTGTCGTGGCCAGGTCTGGAACGCATCTACCGTGATAAACGAGGGATCACTGTACTTACAAATCAGAGGAAGAAAGATAACATTCAGAAAGTAACACCATAATTTAAAAGAGAAAACACCTAATGAACTTATGTACATACAAACCAACCTGTAGCTAAAGTTGTATTTATAGTCTCCAGTGACCAGAGACATGGTGAACTGGTGAGTCCCATTTGCATCGAAAACATAAAGTTCCTGAGAAGCTGGAGAAGCCACTTCATAGGAGTTGGGACCTGACGCTAAAGAGCCTAAAGGACAAAGGATGAGACTGATTAGTGATGGACCTGTTTCCTGTACTTATCTAGTCACTATACACTGTTTGTAGATAATATTTTGGACAGCGGTAAATGTGCACAGTAACTTGACAGACTTCTTGACAACGGCATCCTGCTGAGCATAAAGGTGATGTATTAGGTGCCTTTAGGCATACATACATAGGCAGATTGAAACCACGCACATGTTGTGTATAATCCTATTTTTTACTATTAAAGCATTTTTTGTTTTTGTTGTTTCCATACCCATCCTCTTATTGTGTAAAGTGGCAGATAGTCTTGTGGTTGTTTAGGTTGTTGAGGGCCAGACAAGAGGTAGACTGCTGGAGGGTCCAGCAGCAAGGCCTTATGACACTTACACACCAGAGGTGTCAAATAATGAAGTACAAACACTTCATTGCCTTACTTAAGTAGAAATTGTGGTTCTCTTTCTTAACATTCATTTCGATGTCTCACTATGGGATACGCCTCTCCGCGGATTACTCAGAAGCACTTATCTCAGTATATACATATTATATTATATATGTAATTACTTTATTGTGTCTTTCTATCGTGCTGATTTAATTTTATGATTTTTCATTGTGATTTATTTTTCTAAAGTTTGCCTATCATTTTTTCTTGCACCAAGTACCACAGCAATTTCCTGATGTTGTGATTTCTCGCACAATTGGCAATAAAACATTTCTTCCAATTCTAATTTGTAAGCAGAGCCGGATTAACGCAAAGGCAAAGTAGGCACGTGCCTAGGGCCTGATTGGCTGGATGGGGCCCAGACAGAGGAACAAAATTAAAATAAATAAACAAATAAAAAATGTACAAATGTCCTATGACAGAATTTGTAGATAGGACTCCTATCTACAATGTATTTCAATATTTATTAATTAACTAAAAATAGTGACAATGTTTATCTTAACCATAGACCGTTTCATTGGCTACGTCACATTAAGGCGCCACCTAATTAAGGACGTCAGAGAAGCGGTCAGAGTCAGAGCGGGACACAACAAAGCTAGCAGGTGTTTTTGAGTGGGCTAACTTTCACGATTCTTTCGGGTGCGGCAAAATGTAAAAAAAATAAATGAAGAGGAACAAAAGAAGAGACAGCAGGGGGCTTTACAGAAGTTTCTGTCGGGCTGTTCGGACAGCCGTCCGACAGCTGTGAACATGCTCGAGTCAGCAGAGCCAGAGGCCGGGCCCAAGTCAGAACCGGAGGAGACACGGCCCGAAGACGCGGTGGAAGATGCGGGGGGAAATGCGACGGACGATGCTGTAGCGCCAACGCCGTCAACATCAACGCCTTCACAGAAGGACGAACTGGAAGAACAGCAGCCAGCCAGAAGTGAGCCCAATATAGTCTTACAAGAGCCTCTAGACCCAGAAAGGGTATTAACAACTAGCTACCCATCTGATCCTGCAGTGGTACCAAACTGATGACACGATGCGTGAGTACTTTGCACTAAACCATCCCTCTCAAAATATTGGATATTCTTCGGCATCCCAGAGGAAATCTGGAGACATAAACCAAAGCTGAACCGAGGAACATTTCTTTAGACCTGTTTCTGCTGTGACTGAGGCCCTGTGAGGCTGGAAAGCTGAAGATGATCCTGGGGTGGAGAATGCATATTCTGCGCTTCAGGCTGTGTGTGCACGCGTGTGTGTGTGTGTGTGTGTGTGTGTGTGTGTGAGTGCACGCACGCATGTGTGTGCATGTGGGGTTCTTGTTCTGTGTGAAAACGAAGCAGTACAAGTGATAATGCTGCAGGATTTCATAATTGTATCCTTCTCAGCAGCAGCACTGCAGGTGCTCTCCATGTCCAAAATGTGCGTAAGCCAGGTCCTTAGTCAACTTAAAGTTGCGCACATTTTTCCGCTAAGTTTTCTTTCATAAATCCCAAAGTTTGCATGGAAAGTTGCTTACGCAGTTTTCCGACCCCGTTTTGTGCGTCTTGATAAATGAGGCCCCAGGTGCCTTGACATTGAGAAACACCCCTGGTTAGGGTGATTCTTAGTGCCTTGTGCTGCCATGGTAGCAGATGACAGGAAATTGCTTTTTTTACACAGCTGCTGAAAGCTTCTGGTCTGTAGATCAATAGGGCTCGTGATAGTGATGACATTGCCTACAAGTCCTTACTTGTTGCTTGTTACTACTGTAAACAGCAAGCTCAGACCCGTTCTTATGGCTTAAAATAATCTATTATTCATTTGATTGGTTTTATCATGCAACTATGGTAAATCGTTGCTGTGTTGTGGGGTGCAACACGTGATCGCCAGGGAAAAAGATGGAAAATGGGCAACATTTTCACCGTTTTCCTGCTTGGAGGCTCAGCCACGTGACAAAGTATCGAACATAAAGTCTCGTCGGCTCACTTAGATCGAAGCTGTAAGGCGACTAAACATCACTCTCCGCAGTTTTTTCATTCTGGTAAGTTACAGATGGTGAATGTTTTTTATACATTGTTTATTTTCTTCAACCACAACACCCACACATGCACACACACACACGTTACACACAGAGACTGGTAAGCAAATGCATGGGCACTAACACACAGCACAACTTCTCCTGCTACACTTCTTCTATGGGATGACAATTCTAAATGCTTTGCTAGAAGAACCAGCAAATAAAACATTTACCTCTCATTCAGATGTTTGCATCTGCTCACACCAAAAACAAGAAAGGTGAAAATGTCTGTTATACAGAACTGTAGCGGAAACAATTTGTCGCTGGTGCTCCAGTCTTGGGTCTTTCTTTCATTTGGATCCCATATGGAACATTTTATAACGCTGATTTTGTCCACATACTGGTCCCCGACGTCTTTATTTAACTTATATTCCGCATCATTTTTGGGATTTTAGCATGTTGTTTAACACATTCTGTCACCCAAATCCGCTTTTTCTTCGCAACGTACAGTTTGTTTTCACGGTTTGTTTACACTCGTAAGGCCGCCAACATGATTAAGAATTCTATGCTTAATCGCGTGTGATCCAAGCCCTAAAAAATGTCAGGAGTGCTGCTGCAGATCAGAGCCCATGTCACAGACGCCATGCAAACTTTCAGACAGTCTATTTGTGGGATTTCAGGAAGTATATTTTATTTTGGCAACTTAAGAGAGGAAGCAGGTCAATCAATATGTCCAATAATTTCAGTGCTTGAAATGAATAATCAATTTAATATTCGAGAGGAAAAGATTGATTACATTGGTAGAATAAAAACACCAGAACACATTGCAGCTTTTAAAAGAGAATTAGAAAATTATGACTGGAAAAATGTTTATGTGGAAGACACTAATGATGCATATAATGCATTTCTAGACATATTTTTGTAAATCGATGACAGCCATTGTCCACTAAAAAAGTTTTCTGAAAATCTCAAAAAGAAAAAAAAACATGGATGACAAAAGGTCTGGAAAGAGCATGTAAAAGGAAAAATAAGTTATATAAGATTTTTTTGACAAATAGAACTAAGGAAAATGAAGACAAATATAAGAAATATAGAAACAGATTAACAACTATTTTGCGATATGAAAAGAAAAGTTATTATGAAAAGCTGCTACAAAAATCTCAAAATAATATAAAGCCTACCTGGAGTGTACTTAATAAGATAATAAAAAATCAGAATAATATATGTTTTCCAACATGTATTGTAAAAGAAGGTAATGTAGCGATTAAGAATATTGAGAGTATAGTCAACGAATTTAATGATTACTTTGTTAATGTAGGTCCCAATTTGGCAAAAGAGATTTCTGTACCAGGAAGACATGATGACAATTTTTTAAATTTTACTTCTTATAAATGCAACTCAATGTTTCTTGGAGGAGTCTGTGAGAGTGATATTATAGATGTGGTGAGTAAATTTAAGAGTAAAAAGTCCATGGATTGTGACGGCCTTGATATGTCATTAAGTTCTTCATAGTATCCTTCAACCATTAACTTATATTTGTAACAAATCATTTCAAACCGGAATTTTTCCAGATAAAATGAAAATTGCCAAAGTGATCCCATTATATAAAAATGGAGATAAACCGGTTGTGTCAAATTATAGGCAAGTATCTTTGCTGCCTACATTTTCAAAGATTCTTGAAAAACTATTTGAAAACCGATTAAATTCTTTTATTGAAAACTATGATTTATTGATTGACCATCAGTATGGGTTCAGAAGTAATCGCTCAACATCTCTAGCAGTGGTGTAATTTATTGAAAATATTGCAACAATTGTGGATAAAAAACTGATTGGAATAGGAGTGTTCATTGATTTACGCAAAGCATTCGATACGATAGATCATTCTTTACTGTTACAGAAATGTGAAAGATTTGGTTTAAGAGGTGTTGTACAACTTTGGTTAAATAGTTACTTGGAAAGAAGGTTCCAATATGTGAGTATTAATAATATGAAATCTAAACTTAGACAAGTAACTTGTGGAATTCCGCAAGGATCGGTGTTGGGACCAAAGCTATTTTTACTTTATATAAATGATATTTGTACAGCTAGTGATATTTTAAAATATGTGATGTTTGCTGATGATACAAACTTATTTTGTTCTGGAGATAACATAAAGGAATTACTGAAAACAGTGGAAATAGAATTGATGAAGTTAAATAGATGGTTTGTATTTAATAAACTACCACTGAATGAAAGTAAAACAAAATTTATGTTGTTTGGAGGTATTAAGAATAATATTGAAGTAAAATTAAATCTAAACAATGTTGAAATTGAAGGAGTAAATGAGACTAAATTTTTAGGAGTAATAATTGATGATAAACTTTGTTGGAAGTCTCACATAGATCATGTGAAACGGAAGTTATCTAAGTCTATTTCTATTCTTTACAAAACAAGAGATTTATTGCACAAGAGCTGCCTTTATTTATTGTACACTTCCCTTTGCTTGCCTTATAGGAGTTATTGTGTGGAAATTTGGGGGAAAACATACAAAACATATCTGGATTCAATTTTTAAATTGCGAAAAAGAGCTATTAGAATAATAAATAAAGCTGGATATAGGGAGTCCACAAACCATTTTTTGTAGGATCAGCTATGTTAAAATTTAAGGACGTTATATATCTTAAAACTTTAGAAATGATGTATAGAGTGGCGAAAAAGAATGTTTCAATTTGTATTTTAAGTATGTTTAAATTAAGAAGTGGAAAATATGATTTGAGGGGGTCTTATATGTTTGAAATACCTAAAGTGAGAACTAATGCGAAGTATAGATGTGTGTCGGTTTTGGGAGTGAAGTTATGGAATGGACTTAATGATGAACTGAAGATGTGTTATTCTTTATCGTTTTTCAAGAAAATTTTAAAAAATTGCATCTTCCAAAGTTATAGAAACTTAGTTTGATGTCCAACCTTGTGTTGATTTGATTTCTTGATTTATCATTGTTTTTCTTTAAATGTTATTCATCTTAGCTATCAGCCTTGGTTAAGGATTTGATTATCTCTGTGGGAGTTAAGGATAGGCTAATTATAAGCCACTAGGCTTCAACCTATTCCTTTTTCGGTTGCTTGATTACTTTTATGTAAAATTGATAAATTGTTGTTGTTGACCGAATAAAAATATCTATCTATCTATAATTTATGATTTTTGTCGGACAACATTAAAACCCTCCAGCAATGTCCGACATGTTTTCACAAACAGTGGTTTTTAAAAGAAGAGAAGTTGTGTTTCAAGTCCACTTAGTGTTTATGATGAATCCCATTCTACTGCAAGAGAATCAGCCACTCTCACCCACGATGCTGAGAGACAATCAGAACATTCGTGAAAGAGACACGCGGTCAAATTTAATATCGGCTGTAGTAGCAGAGCTATGTAAAGGGAAAAAATAGGAAAATAACCCAAATGTGCAGCTTTGTCAGCTGGGCTCAGCTCCAGTACCGGCAAGAATTCTGGGTCAGCCAGGACAGGGTATCTGCAGGTTTAAGGGAACCTAATTTAAGACTTTTTAAGACCTTTTTTTAAGGCCACTTTGACCAAATTTAAGCTATTTCAGCAGGGCAGCAGTAGCTCAACAGGTTGAACGGGTTGTCCAGTAATCGGAAGGTTGCATGTTCAATCCCGGCTCTGGACAGATCATTCTGCTGTTGTGTCCTTGGGCAAGACACTTAACCCACCTTGCCTGCTGGTGGTGGTCGGAGGGACCGGTGGCGCCAGTGCTCGGGAGCCTTGACTCTGTCAGTGCGCCGCAGGGCAGCTGTAGCTACATCGTAGCTCATCACCATCAGTGTCTGAATGTGTGTGTGAATGGATCAATGATACACTGTAGTGTAAAGCGCTTTGGGGTCCTTACTCTGAGAGGCACTGTACAAGTACGGGTCATTTATCATTTTGAAAAATTAAATTTAAGGTATAATTTCCAGCTATTGCATGGAACCGGTGCTAACCACACCGCGATCGTGGGATTAGACATCCAGGTACCATTAAACTTCCACTTCCCCATGGCGCAAACTCCCACTAGCTTAACCAGCTAACGTGCTTATCTAAAAATAGCCCCCTTACACAACCAACTGAATGTGTACGGTTCTGCTTATGCCAACATCGTACACAAAAAATGCTGAACACTAACTAGAAATTCACGAAAATGTTATAGAAATAAAAGAATCTTGTTTATTGGGTCTTTGGTAATTTAAGACCTCTGGAAACTGTATTTAAGGATTATTTGTCATTTTTCAGGATTTTTAAGGCCTTAAATTTGGAAAAGCTAATTTAAGACTTTTTAAGACTTTTTAAGGACCCGCGGATACCCTGCAGGAGCCAGACAAAAAAACGCAGCTTTGACCATCACGTGATTGTGCTGTTTGAAATTGTAATTTTGGTCCAAAAATGATAGATCGTTCAGCCCTAAAGACTACTGAAGAGTTTGTAAACTTCAAAACAAGTCAGTATTATAGTGAGTTTTAGATGCTTGAATAATTATTTTGGGGTCCAGATACTGGAATCGTCTTGTCCTGGTAGATTTTAGTGCTGTGTTTGATACAGCTGAAAACTACATTACACTGCTTCACCATATTAATTAGATCAAACTAACTGCAGGCCACTTTAAATCACATGCATTGGATAGATTCCAGTTTGGGTAACAGAACTACTTTATAATTTTAGTAATGAGAAAAAATAACACAAACTCGTGCAGCTGATAGCAGATGGCATCCATAAAACCAGATCAAACCAATCATATTATTTCATTACAAACTTGTCGAACATGAAATTTATTTCCCAATATGGCTGCAAAAACAACCAGCTCACTGAGGCCTAGTTCACACGTAGCCGGGTTTTTTTTAAAAACGAATATCCGCCCCTCCAAAAACTTGCATCCACACCACCTCGTTTAAAAAAAAAAAACTCTGTCCACACGTACCCGGATAAATAAGTTGTTAAGGACATGCCAGACCTGTAGGCAGCAGTACTTCCCCCGTTCTTAACCTCGCCCTTCGTCGGTGGTCTTCCGCAAGGAGCAGTAATTCCGCTTGCAAAAACAAACAAGCAGAAAGCGCTTGGACCATTGATAAAGCGAGCGCAGCTCTGAGGGCATCCATGCTGTCGGCTAGTGTAAACACAGGTCGCACACGTGATGTCAGCATTTTTTTGTCGCGGAAAGTGACGTCGCAGACCTTAAAGCTCCGGTTTTGTCTGTCCACACGCAGACACCCAAAACGGAGAAAACGCAGATCTTCACTTTGGCCGGAGTTTTTAAAAAGATCAGATTTCGTGTGAAAAACTCCGTTTTCGTGTGGATGACAGGCCAAAACGTAGAAAAATATCTACGTAGATATTTTTCTACGTTTTGGCAGATCCCCGGCTACGTGTGGACAGGGCCTGAGTCGTTTTCTTTTTAGGACTCGATGTACAAACCTATTGTTGACAATGTACTTTGTCATGGGCTCGATTTCCAGCTCCCGCCGGGGGTATTCTGCTGTTGTGTACTTGGGCAAGACACTTCACCCAACTTGCCTGTGTTGGGGGTGGTCAGAGGGGCCGATGGCGCCAAAAGGCAGCCTCTCCTCTGTCAGACCGCCCCAGGACGGCTGTGGCTACAATGTAGCTTACCATCACTAGCGGTGTGTGAATGTGAGAGTGCATGAAAACGTCTTTGAGTGTCCTAAATACGTGCTATATAAGTTTGATGTATTATTATTATTGTTGTTGTTTAAGGATGTAACATTTCATATGTAACAATAGAAAATATATAACATGATGCAACACATTTGAATAATAATCTGAAAAATGCTAAATGAGCCCTTTTCAGTTCTTGACATACCACAAGGTTTACTTAAAAGACCCCAAACATGCAACCTGATGCAGCTGTGTATGTAAAACCTACACATCTAACCCTTTAGAACCCAAACCCTTTAGAAATAGAAAACAGATTGGAATAAATAAATCACAATATAGAAAAAAATAAATTAAAGAAGTAAAATAATTTTCAATATACCTGTATGTATGGATAGAATGTCACTTGTGGTTTTCAAACTTGAATGCTTAGGATAAAAAAACTGTGGATGTTTGAAATGGATTGCGACACCAGTGTCACAAGTCCTTAAGGGCTAACTGTAAAAATTAAAAAATGTCCCGAAGCCAGCAGCAGAACTGTCTAGGCTCACAAAGTCTCGCCGGGTGGCTGCTGGTTTTCACCGTTTCTCTTCTCGGACAGATCTATCAACCTTGTGTCAAATCCCTGCTGCAGTTGCAGTCGAAAATCAGATTTAATTCTACTTTCCTTTTACATAAAAGCAGCCTCTCTAAAAATCAGAAACTCATTACACAAACCGGTGCGTGGTTGGTTGCATCGTATGGATCGAATCCGGATATTTCCCAAATCAGCCACATACAGTGTCCCATCTGGAGACACCACTAAAGATGAAGGACAGTTAAGTCTGGCGTCCTTAGCATAGCCATCTCCTGTTTGATAACAGTCACAGCTGGTATCCTTATGGAGGACAGAAGAAAAGTAGCACACAAAAACGTGAGAGGCAGAGAATGAGAGAAGAAACATTCATGTAGGAAAAAATGCTGGTCAAGTGGAGGGAGGGTACCTTGCAGTCACAATCAGACGCTGCACCAGCTAGGTGGGTAATTTCTCCATCAGTTGACACCTTGTATAGTTATTGAGAAAATGTGAAAACAGTTCAAAACAAACCATGAGCTTCAGATTACACAGAAGAGAAAACACTCAAAGAACTAAAAGTCAAAACTAAATACAATTAAATAACATTAACTCATTCACTGCCAATGACGACTAAAGTCGTCATTTGCATTTTTTTACTGTTTGAGCATCGGAACGAGCCCCCGCGCTGAGAGAACAAACATCTCAACCCTGAAGCCGATCTTCATCCGCATACGTCACAGATCACATGATCAGGAAGAAACACATCCACGTGTTTGGCGATCGTTTTGGGCCGTTCCTGTAAAAAAAGTGAGGCGCGAACCGGAAAAGCGTCTGCCGATCACAATTCGACAACGGATTATGAAAGAACGGATAACGCTCGAAACACGCGGCTTCTTCCTGATGTAAGAGGTGAGTCTCCTCTTTGTTTTGGTTGTTTTGGCATCGACATCATGCTAGCGCGCAACGTTCTGTGACTCTTAAAAAAAACAGTAAAAACGGTGAGAAACGCTGGCAGCGAAGGCCGTTAGTGATCAGGAAACGGCTGGCAGTGAATGAGTTAATGACAAAAGTCAAAGTTCATTTATAAATTTAGAAATGTTGAAAAATCTTCCTGTAAATATTAGTGTCTAAAAACAAGTGCACACTAATAAGTAGCAGATCACCTGTCTGATGCGATGGATTTTCTTCTCATCTGTTTCTGCGATGTAGAGAACACCTCTGTACGATAAGGCGATAGCTGTGGCTCCCTCTAGCATGGTTTGCACTGCCCTCTTACCCAGTGTGTACTCTATACCAGGCACCTGGCAGTGCATGGGCCGACCGGCCACAATACGAACCTGAACATAGTGCAAAAATTTGAAAGAGAATAGAAACATGTGGTGTTTGATGTTTTGAAAACAAGTAATGTTTGTTTGAAATATTGTATGAGGTACCTGTCCATTTTCAGTGATCTGCAACACAACATTGTTGTCCAAAACATAAATGGAGTTATCCATGGGACTGATGGCTAGGTCTGTGGGCCATTCTAATCGAACCTGTATAAAGACATTAGTGGTTTATTTTTTCAACTTTAAAGCTCCATCTGAGTACATTCGGCAATAACTGTCTAATAAACAACGATCTGTTTTTGTCAACCCTGTTGCTACACTCACTGTAGCTACGACTGTATAAAACCTAGTGTTGATGTGGAGCAGTGTAAACCCACCATGTAGCAATAGAAGATTACATATAAGCGTATACAACTTTGTGTCTTAGCTCTGACATGTTATTGCATCCATGTGAAGTTTTTTCTCTTCACCCTCACATGCAAGTTCTGACCTTAAAACAAAAACAAGGGCTCCCATACACAGAAATACAGCACCTTGCAAAAAAAGGTCTCGCCCTAGATGTAACTAAGCAAATAGGTAGGAGAGATTCTTTCAGCTATTTAAGTTATTTAACCCCAACTAGTGCAATAAGTTGCTTTTAGTTTCTTAAACAACCAAGTGGAAAGGCATTTGTGGTGGTCGTGGAAAAGATGTTAGTCTGTTTGAGAAGGGTCAGATCATTGGCATGAATCAAGCAGAGAAAACATTTAAGAAGATTGCAGAAACGACTAAAATTGGGTTAAGAACTGTCCAACGCATTATTAAAAACTGGTCCGAGTCCAGATGGACCCTGCTCCAGTGATTGTGCATCAGGATAAGAAGAGAGGCAGGTGAAGTGATGCACCCATCACGGTTTTTTTATAGCTGAAAGTTTTATTCTAGTTTTTTTATTACATTTTATTCTATTTTATTCTATTTTTAATCTTATTATTCATGTTATATGTAGCACATTAGTACCGAAGCAAGTTCCTAGTTTGTGAATTGTTGTTCACTGACAATGGCAATAAACCTATTCTGATTCTGATTCTGATCGTGCCTAGTGGCTATTGTACAAGCCTGTGGGGGCAGTACTATGATCTGGGGTTGCTGCAGTTGGTCAGGTCTAGGTTCAGCAACCATATAGGCTCTTTTGGACTGTAGGAACCTTTTAAAGTTTCTATAACCTTTTCAGGAACCAGCACGTTTTTGTGCGTGTTCGAACAGATAGGAACTAGGGACCTTTTCCATCAGTTCCTAGAACCATTTTAGCTCCTACTCTGAGGCAGGGTTTGTCATGGTTCCTGTGGCACTAACATGATAATTGGTGTTTGTTAAGCTCATAAGCTACACCTCTTTCTAGATTCCTCCATCTTTTCTGAGCTGATTCATGTTTGTTTATTTAGAGACAGACTGGACTGAACCCTGGATACTCCTGCCGCCGCCTGAACACCTCACTAAAATTAAACTTGTCTGGCTGTGGCTGTCAGAATTGATGTCTGAATGCCAAAAACAAGCCTTACAGTTTTTCTCTCACAGGTGGAGTGTTATAGCTTCTGCTATAATGACACGTCTGATACCAAAACTTTTTTAGAAACATTTTCGGTTGTTTTAAATGTCAACCGACATGGAAACAGAAGTGAAAGAGAATGGGGGAGAGAAAAAGAGGAGACGGGAGGGGAGTTCACAAAAAAAAAAAAACAATAAACGATGAACAAGAATCTGTTAGACCTGCAGAAAGAAAGAGAGAAAAGGGGATACACAATAATACAACAAAACCAAAATATCACTGCACAACATGAGGATATATAACAGTAACAATTTTTACTGAAAAGCATGCAGTAAAAGACCCCACCTGACAGATACAGTCACACACAAATACAGTCATATACTAGTCATACACTCCTTCCCTCATGCTTTCACATAAACACATACAACCTTAAGACACAAAAAAGTTTCCGTAATACACCCACTCACACTCCCTACAAACACCCTACTGACTTTGGTCCCAGTGCTGCTGCAAAGAGGGCACAACTGTTCCCGGACCCCAGAGCTAACCCTGTTCTACTGGGGTAATGATGAGCAGGCATCCCCACCCTACGTAGAGCAAAGTGATCTACCACCCCAGATCTCAACCAGACGGCCAGCTTCCACTCCTAGCCTCCAGCCCCGGGCAGCTAAACGAGAACAGAGGTGTGATAAGAACCATGATCGCCTGCTCCAATGTGGTGTTGATGCATGTTGTTAAAGTGCATTCTATGGTTGGGAGGAGGGGCAGTGCAGGCATCAACAAGCATACACCAGCTGGTGCCACCACACAACCCCAGTTCCCCTCCAGAACCTTCAGTGTCTAGGTGCAGATTAAAATTGAAAGTGGGCACTGGCACTCGAGGTGAGGCAGAAAAATCCCCCTGCCAGGTGCCGTTGAGTGTGCTCACCCCCATGGTCCGAAATGTGCATTTGAGTGGAGGTGTTTAATGTGTGACTAAAATTGGAGTGCAGGCTGCCACAGGCCTGTGGAAATGGGAACCATACCTTCACCCCTTCACTAATTCACACCGCAAGATCCTATGTGCATGTTTGTGTGGTGATGTGAAGGAGCAGCAGGAGGAAAATGTCTGGGGATGGGGAGGAATGGCTGGGGGACCCGAGCCCTCCAGGGAGCCAGTTCCCCCTCTGGCCCCAATAGGCACTCCCGTTCCAAAAATCTACCTGGGGCATGGAGACCCCAGCCAATCAAGCCAGGGCCCAAAGCAGCAGCAACACAGAACCTTATGGACGAGGGGCCACCAACTCAGCCCCACCCCAGCAGAATATCATGGGAAACTTCCAGACTACATAATACATAAAACACAGAGGTAAAGTTCCGTCCTCCCCTCCCTCGTGATGGAATTGAAGTGTTCCTGCTAGTTCAGGAGAAACCAGCGTCCGTCCGAGGCCCCCAAGCCAGGGCCAGACAACAGTCTCAATGTATTTATGAATGTTTAATCTCTTCTCTTGATATAACAAAAGTTTGCAAAAAGGAAAATTTCCATTTTGGGATGCAAATCTGCTAAAAGCTCATTCCCCCATTGTAGTAAGACGAATATGCAGCTTGACCATAGCAGAAGAGTGTAGCACTCGTGTGGGTATGGGAATTTGAATGAGTAGGGAAATATAGGCAGGAGTGTGGTTGCTAACGCATCCACCCCTCAAACATCTGATTGTTTTGTGTCTGTTCAACAGGTCTTTTCTGAGAACGACCTTGTCAGTCTCTAGTCTAAGGACCCTGCTATCAGCAGGATGATCCTGTACCTTTCTGATTCGACAGCTCATCTACCTTCTTCTGTCAAGCTCGACTCTGCTCCTGAGCTCCGTGTGCTCTCTTTCGCGTTCGTGTCACGCTGAGAATGGTTAAAGGGTTGCTAATTCACGTCTGCAAGCCTTTGTTGTCAGCTGTTCTTGTGGCGCCACCATCCCTAAGGGGTGGGGGGGGGGGGGGGGGGGGTATAATCGCGCAAGCTCATGACTCTCCTTTGGCTGGACAGAAAGGTGTCAAGGCCACGTTCGGTGCCCTGAGCCAGGATGCTTACTGGCCAGGATGTGTCAAGACATCTCAGACTACATCCAGAGCTGTTTGGTTTGCTGTCAATTTTAGTCATCAAACCCCATCCACAGAGCTCCTTTACAAAGCAGGGGGACGTCCACACTGTGGTCTGGCCTGCAATTTGATTGAGTGGGGCCCCTGACCAAGTCCAGCAGGGGTAACAAACACTTCTTGAATGTGACCTGTGTATTCGCCAAATGGGTTGAATGTTTACCAGCACCTCCTCTCCCCAACCTCTAAAGGCCCTCCAGCTCCAGCTCCACCACCAATACCCCTGTCACCCAGCCCTCGGGGTTCCAGTCTACCTAGCCATCCGGCACTTCAGGGCCCTCTCTCCAGGGCCTCCCAGACACCATCATCTCCTCCTGTGGCCCAGGCGCAGGCCCTCCAGACTCTGTCTTGGCCTGCGTTGGACATCCGGTGCCACCCTTTGAAATGGGGGTACTGTCACAATCTGTCCTGTCTCCCCAGTCTCTGTTCAGTTCTGTGTCTTTACTAACTGCTCCCACCTGCCTCTCATCGCCCAATCACTCCAGGTCCCAGTTCCTCCTGTATTTAAACCCTCCCAGTTCTGCGTTCCTCATCTGTTCATTGTTTCAGTGTCTGTGTGCTTTTTATTAAAAGACCTTTTGATTGTTCACACCAGCCTGCCTTTCTTTCCCCTGCAATTGAATTCTCACCTTGACCGCTTGCCTCAACTGCACCGTGACACACTGTGATTCAATAAAACAGGAATTACTTCCTGATTAATTCAGTTTCCAGCTGACTTCCAATTCCGCCAAATCGGTGGAAAAGGCATTTTGAAACCATCCTATCTTTTGACATCAAGTCAAAGCCTCTCTGCAACGTTGCAAGGGATTACAGATGCAATGACTCTTCTAAGAGCCAACAAACAGCCTTAGACGCAAACATGCATTCCAGCTTCCTGTCGTGACCTGGAGATATCGCAAGGCTAAATGGGTCGTATCGGAGCTAATCTACGAGGTCCTGGTACCTAGAGGTCCATGCCATCGGCAGTGTCCATCCCGACCTTGTGACCCCCTGGATCTGAACAGAGATTTTCATACAAGGGACTCAACAGATTATGTTTTACAAACAAATCTCTAGTTTACCAATCATACAGCTATATTGATTTTACAACACAGACTCCACAAACTCTCTCAGATACTTAAGAAGGGTTTCGCTAAAACATCTAGCTTCCATTACATAATTTCATCCATCGAATTTAATCACTTCATATCCATTACATTACAACATTTTCTATTTAAATATTAGTAAATTAAATAAATTATTAAAAAAATTAAGACCCAAATGGAAAATTCATAACAAAAGTGTAAAAATGTAATCAAGGTTAGCTTATTACACATCTGTAATGATATTGCCATTTTTTTTTTGTAATAATTTGACACAGAGGCAAAAATAGTTTGTGACACTTTACAATAGGAGTCCATTTATTGATGTGACTTAGTGCATTATTAAACATAAATACATTATTAAATAAAGTTTAATAACTGTGTCTCGTAATGCATTCCTAAGCAGACACACACCCCTGGCCTCTTGTCCTAACCTTAAGGACACTTAAAAGTGTAAAAGTAAAAAAACATGCTGCAGATTTCCTAGTGAATTCAATATTCACACAAAGCTTAGAGTCAGGTAATGGGATATTTATTTTGCATATACACATCTCTTTGGACAGTGTGACAACTTCCAAAAGAACATTTTGTGAATTCATGCCAACACGTATGTTCTCTCTCAAACTAAATGTGATTTATTATGAAAGGTGTTTTGTGATCAGTTGGAAGGTACAAGGTAACGCATCAAATCTACATGCACTCCAGCTCCTTTAGGGTTCTGCAGTAGTTGGTTGTACTGGAGTATCTGGCCGTGATCAGAGGTCCTCACCTTCGACTACCTTGGCGGTCTGATCCTCTCAAAAGAAGCTGGCTCTTGGCACATGGAATGTCGCCCCTCTGGTGGAGAAGGAGCCTGAGTTGCTGTGTGAGGTTTTAAAGTTCTGATTAGATATAGTCAAACTCACCTCGATGCATGGCTCTAGTTTCCTTGAGAGGAGTTGGACACTCTGGAGTTGCTCCCACTTTCTTGGTGCCTGTACGTTAGGGTTTACCCCAGTAAATAAAAGGGTAGCATCCTTCGGCCTATGTGTGGCGGGACAGGTCCTGACTTTGGTGGTTGCTTATGCACCAAACTGCAGTTCAGACTACCCACTATTTTAGGAGTCCTTGGAGGGAGTGCTGGAGAGAACTACTTCTGGTGACTCCCTCGTTCTGCTGGGGAACTTTATTGCTCACATGGACAGTGACAGTGAGACCTTGAGAGGGGTGGTTGGGAGGAACGGCCTCCCTGATCTGAATTCAAGCAGTGTTTATTTATTGGACTTTTGTACTCATCATCAAGCCGACAAGCCTTTGTGAGCTCCTGGTCGTTCCCCACAGACACACAGTCGACAATAGCCGAGTCATCAGAGAACTTCTGGAGGTGACAGCTGCTGTTGCTGTAGGTGAAGTCCGAGGTGTAGAAGGTGAAGAGAAAGGGTGAGAGCACCGTACCCTGTGGAGCTCCGGTACTGCACACAACCACCTCAGATGTACAGTTTTGCAGCTTCACGTATGGTGGCCTGCTGGTGAGGTAGTTGATCATTAATGCTGTCAGATGTTCGTCCACTCCTGCACCCCTCCTCTTCTGCTGCAGTAGACGTGGCTGGATGGTCTTGAAGGCACTTGAGAAGTCAAGGAACATGATTCTCACAGTGCTCTTTTGCATCTCGAGGTGAGTGAGCACCCGGTGCTGCAGGTTGATGAGTGCATCCTCCACCCAATGTTTGGTTTATATGCGAATTGCAGTGGGTCTATTTCCGGGGTCACCACTGAATGTAAATGGGTGAGTACATTACAGAAAAAAAAGTCCTGTAAAAACATTCTTGTTCCCTCTTTTCCAGCAAGTTTATTTATCATTTTTGAAAGTTATGTAAAAGGATGTAATCTCACTCAGTTAAACCATATTTTATTTGAGGTTGTTTAGTCCTCTCATAATGGACATTAAGTCCTGTGGAAGCTGGCCCAAGAGGACGAGAAGAAGGGAGTCTAAGCCTCCCTGCTTAGGCTGCTGCCCCCGCGGCCCAACCCCAGATAAGCAGCCAAAAATGGATGGATTTTTTTCTTCAAATACTGGCTTTTGATGATGATGATATTATTATTATTATTATTATTATTATTATTATTATTACTGCATTGATCTCTATCATATTATAAATTCTTGGTTGTTGTCTTTTTTTTGCTTTGTAAAATTAAAAAAAGGAAAAAAGAAAATCAGACGTCTCAGTCCAGAAAAGTGCAGTTCTAGGAACAGCTAAGATACTGCGCAGAACCCTCAAGCTCCCAGGCCTCTGGTAGACGACCCAATCTTGGAAGGATTAGATCACTCACGGAGGGTGATATGGGAATTCTTTTTATCTATCCAATTAGTAAAATCATCAGATTGCATGGGATAAACTTCCATTGTTATGCTGACGATAGTTTTCAGTTAGGTAGATTACAGGCTTTTCTTGAAAACTCTAAAATTTCTGCTCTTAAAACCAGGCAAGACAGGTTCTGTTGAAGGTTAGTTCCTGTGAAAGGGGAGTTTTCCTCTCCACTGTCGCAACATGCTTGGTTAGTATGATGATTGCTCTAAAGCAGTGGTATTCAATTTCGGGCTTGGAGGGCCGGTATCCAACACATTTTAGCTGTAACTCTGTTTCAACACACCTGATTTCAGTCAGCAGGTGATTAACAGGCTTGTGCAGAGCCTGATGAGCTGCAGCACAGGAGATTCAATCACTCAATCAAGTGTGTTGGAGAAGAGAAACCACTAAAACGTGCTGGATACCGGTCCTCCAGGCCAGAAATGGAATTGCCCTGCTGTAAAGTCTCAGACGCAATCTGCAATGTACCAAGTGGTCAGTTTTCACCTACATATTGACCACATAATAACCTTTCATTTGCAGACAGGAAAACACCATCTGTTTGGACACCCAAATCCAAACACGCCTCTGCCCCAGTTATTGCTGCTGCAGGAAGTCTAAACTTTATCACGGTCTCATGCAGGCTGCCTGCATTTTCACCCTGAGGAAAAGTTATCTGGATTTATAAATAACTTTACCACTTAAAAGTTAAATAATCACATGTGTTGAATGAACAAGAGGTTTAAATCAAATGTTTGAATAATTTGTGCTTTAATCAATGAGTTTAAAATGAATATTGTTCCTGCAATGATCCAGTTCAGATCTTATCTACACCAGATCAGTGTGTGTATGATTTAACAAGTTAATATCTACACTCACACACATTACAGTAAGATACTTATTGATGTTAATATTTTTTTCACATAAGTGTTTTAAAACATTCTCATTCACAAAGTGTTAAACACCTTTGTATCTGAAGAAGGTGTGGCTCCTGAGGAATGTTTGGTAAAACCCTCAAAACACGTCACATTCAGATTTGCCAAACTTGCCAACATTTATAAACATCGTGGTTCAATAAAACACAAATTATTTCCCGATTAACTCAGTTTCTAGCTGACTCCTGATTCGGCCAAATCGGGGAAGAAGCCTTTTTGAAACCATCTCCTTTGACCTCCAGTCAAAGCCTCTCTGTGAGGCTGCGAGTGATTTAATGACAGAACTGCTCTTTTCAGAGCTTCTTCACCTCTGAGACATCTAACCTGCAGACCCCGGGTTGCATCTCATGGCCCGTGAAGCTGGACTCAGAGGAAGGTACTAATCTCTGAGTATTGTGGTTTCGACGTCCGGTGACCTCACCACTCGGGACCACACTCCTCCGGACCGCCGAGAGCAACTAATACCAAGGGTATCGTAAGCCTGTCTCTTGACAGCTGGTGTTTTTCACCTTGCTGTAATGACCCCCATACAAATCCAGTAACATCAACACTATTTTCCATTGACTTTGATCAACAGTGAGAGGCTGTTGCACTATGGTGAATGTTCAAAATGATTTGCATATTTACCTGTCTTATGTGCATGCTGGTATCACAGGTCAAAGGTCGTGCAGAGGTTAGATCATTGCTGCCCAGAACTGTAGAGATAATTCCATTCCGATCAACTTTCCTGATCATCGTCCCATCCACAAAGTAGATCAGCCCATTCTTATCAACGGCAATCCCTGTGGGTTGAAACAGACAGACATTGAAAAAGCTGCTAAATGCAGGAATATAGTTAAGAGACTTGTGTGTAGCTGGTTTTAAAAGTTTAGGGCTTTCAACACCAGACATGACCCAAAGGTGCTTATGACCAAAGCCGCTTTGGGTATTTGAGTACCCCTGGTCTGGAAGAAGCTAAAATGGATTAAAATTTGGTAGCTGACCAAATGAATCAGGCCTAGTCCACACATGGCCGGGTTTTTTTAAAAACGAATATCCGCCCCTCCAAAAACTTGCATCCACACCACCTCATTTAAAAAAAAACTCTGCCCATACGTACCCGGATAAATACGTTGTTAAGGACATGCCAGACCTGTAGGCGGCAGTACTTCCCCCGTTCTTAACCTCGTCCTTCGTCTGTGGTCTTCCGCAAGGAGCAGTAATTCCGCTTGCAACAACAAACAAGCAAAAAGCGCTTGGATAACTGATAAAGCGAGCGCAGCTCTGAGGGCATCCATGCTGTCGGCTAGTGTAAACACAGGTCGCACACGTGATGTCAGCATTTTTTGTCGCGGAAAGTGACGTTGTGGACCTTAAAACTCCGGTTTTGTCTGTCCACACGCAGACACCCAAAACGGAGAAAACGCAGATCTTCACTTTGGCCGGAGTTTTTAAAAAGATCCGTTTTCGTGTGAAAAAACTCCGTTTTCGTGTGGATGACAGGCCAAAACGTAGAAGAATTTCTACGTTTTGGCAGATCCCCGGCTACGTGTGGACAGGGCCTCAGTTGTGTTCTGGAATGAACTCTGAGCAAAACAAGTGCTCTCATAAACAGGCTTCAGATGAGAGCTGTCATACTCTTGACAGAAACATTGACAGGATGGCGTCACCTCGAGCAGAAAAAGAAAATCACAAATGTGTTTCAATAACCAAAGGACAAATATTCTTAACAAGAACAGAATTTATGGGTACGAACAAATCTCCGAGGAAGCACAATACCTGAAAGAAAACTGGAACTGGATGGACACTCCTCATAGTAAGCAGGAGAAAGCATGTCGGTCTCTGTGTGTGTGTATGAGTGTGTGCGCGCGCGCACTGCTAACCTTTGGGTCCCAGCAGCAGAGCCTCGGTGGCTTTCCTCCCATCCCCACAGCGGGCCTCATCAAAAGGAGGACACTGCTCTCCTGTTCCGGCCACTACCTCCACATTAGCTGAGTACATGTCAACACTGCATTAGAAGCAGCTTGCATCACGATGAAATCCTGGGCTACCTGAACAGACTTACCGGAGAGGTCATGGGCCCCGTTAAGATTCTTGGGTCGGTAAATTCTTCTTGAGTTAGTGTCAGACACGTAGAGCTGCCCTGTCACTGGGTTGGTAGCTAGGTAGTACCGGTGAGCAGGGTTGTTACTGTAGAGCCAGAACAGACCAAAAAATAGACAAGTTAGCAACAAATAAAACAAATGATTTCACAGATCGATTAGTAATGTTCCAAGCGCCTCTCGATCTGTGCTTTAAAAAAATTTATGATTTGTTCACCAGCCAACTTATCATCCTGATTCACACCTGAACGTGAGAAATGTGGAGTAGAAAAAGCAACAAAATCAAAGAAGACAGAAACATTTTTATCAGGGAGCTCAGAACATCAATAGTGATCTACTGTCAAAAACTCAAGGACAAACTATAAAGTTTATGATAATGATGAGATGAGGATGCAAAGGTAAGACGGCGATTTTTGACACCTGTCAGTAATTATTCTGTCTTTTTTGTTCAGAAGATCCAACAGACTCATAGAGAATTTGATCCGTGTGTGTGTGTTGTGACTAATCTCTGTTGTGAAGTTTTTGATTATGGTGCGAATGTGGGTGCGCATTTGTGGATGACTGGTTGTGTTGCAAAGCACCTTGGTGGTGTTCTAGGACTCTAGAAGGTGCTATATCAAAAACTGGCCATTTGCCATTATTGTTTAAAAGATGGAATCAATTAATGTCTGTTGCTACAGGTATGCACTAGGCCTGGGCAGGCTATGACTATCCCTCAGGTGACTCTTCGTGCAGGAATGGACCATTTTGCTTGTTCAGCTGAAGTTCTCTGAGCTGTATATCTTCCAGAGTCAAAGCTGGTCCAATAACAGGGATAAATCAGTAAGTTGTCTCTCTCTAGAAGTCCATGATTAGTTCCTTTGTTAGCTTTGCGTTGACCAGCAGGTTGTTGTTACACTCTGCTTCTAGGTACACCACCTCCTCTCTGTTGGGTCAGATTCTGACAAACTTGAGTCCAATACATTGATTATAAATCACATCAAATAATAGAAATTTGATAAAAAAAATAAAAACATGTCAGAATGGACATGGACAAAAATGAGGTGCTGAAACATGAACCGTAGCTGGAATAGTGAATAGTAAAAAGTGGAAAGGATGCTGCAATCTTACCTATGCCTGAAATCTTTGTTTCTTTAACAGTGGAAGAAAAGGCATAGAGAGACATGAGTTAGAAGGCAGCTTGAATGATACCACAGTAAAAATGAAAGGAAAACAAGAATCACTCCTAACTGGAACCATTCACCACAGAACTGACTGGGGAACAGACTTCAAGTGAATGTCATGCTTGTGAGTTTTGAGAAAAGATGAAAATACAGGAAAAGCTTGGATTGCCAACAAGATATATAAGAGTTGGGAGAAGCAGAATTGGTAGACGTTTCTTACACAACCATTGTAAGTCAGACCGTTGTGTTTAACCCTCTGGAGGCAGGCGTTGCAGATTTGCAACGCTAAAACCTACCTACCTGTACGTATTTCGTGAGCATTTTTTAACACAGAAGTACCCCTGAAGGACTTGGTTGTTCTTCCTTTTATCAAAGCTTATTTTGAGCCTGAGAGAGTTAAGACCTTGAAAATGTTTATAAAATCAGCTGTCAGCCTGCCCCTCTCCCTCTTACCTCAGCTCCATGACACTGGTAACGTTCCCAGAGGAAAAGATTTTCCTAATGTAGTTGAAGTCCCCAACATAAAGGCTACCGTCTGCTCCACATGCAAGAGCCAAAGGTGCCAGCAGCTTGTTGCCTTCTGCCTGTCCATTACAGCTGGGACATGAGATACTCCGGCGACGGCCATTCCCTACAGGAGTGGTGAAATGCAGTTAAGAGATTCATTTGTATTTGAAGACGTGAAATGAAAAAAAAAACGTGTCAGACAGGCTAGCATTAAATGATTAATAAAATTAATGAAGAGTCATTACTAAAAATTGAAATCCGACTGTAGCAGACAGAGCGTGGAGGACAGGTTAAAGGCCAGATGTCATGAGCTTCACAGCCTTAGTGAAGAAGCTGTTCCCTTGCCTTGTTGTCCAGGCATGGATGCTGGTCAATCTTCTGGCTGACGGAAGGAGGGTCAATAGACCCTGGATTCATAACTGGGGTCCAACATTATTATCTTTGGTCAGTTCTGCTGGTATAAATCTCCTCTATGGCCAAACCACCCCATTCTGATAGAGCTCCGGGAGTTGACGTCACTTCTCCCGACATGCAACAGTTCAAATCGAAACGGCGCCATATTGGCAGGCAGAAGCCAGCAGCTGGACTATTTGTTATTGTCAGAAAACTCAATCAAACGGGAAATATGGTAAGATTCCTGTTGTGCCCCAGGATGCAGAACAGACGCGGACAACATAAGGAATGAGCCATCTACAGGATTCCCCAAGATCCGGAGTGCCGCAAACGTTGGATCATTGTAGTAAAACACGCTAGTGACCGGGCTAAAACGAAACTGTGGGATCCCGAGAGTAAAGGATTTCACTTATGCAGCGACCGCTTCATATCAGGTACTTAAACCAACGTTTCCTCAACTGTGTATGGTATTTATTTTACATGCTTTTATTACGATTCTTAGTGGGCTTCCTAAACTTATTTTGGCATGGCTTTTTCTGTCTTATTACTCATAGCAACAAGTAAACGTCACGTAAAATGTTGCCTCGTGTTTCTGCGTGCTGCCGTTTACGTGTTTTATGATCACAGCAATTAACCGGCTAAGCTGTATTTAACTTTTATGCAATGGTTGATCAATTGTCAGATCACACATCAAAAGCACTTTGGATTGCTATTATCTGTCTCACTGAGACAGATCTCAGACAGATCCTGAGACGCTCCTGCCTGACATATTTATTTTTTTCACGGAAAAAAATCAAACTAGTGATTTCTCTTGGCGTTCAGTTTATACATTCAAACAGCACAGCACTCTATTTAAACTACTTACATGCAAATCTATGTTATTTGTCCATCCATTTTCCTCCGCTTATCCAGAGTCGGGTTACGGGGGCAGTAGCGTCGAGAGGCCCAGACTTCCCTCTCCCCAGCCACTTGGGCCAGCTCCTCCAGGGGAAATCCCAAGGGGTTCCCCGGCCAGGTCCGCTAAGAAGTCCGCTCCGACAGCTTCTAGCATTTTTAAAAAGTATCCCAGGGGCACGGTAAAAGTCGGAGATGTTTAGTCTATTTAATTTCTGACTATATAAAACGATTTCTTCTGTTTTAAAGTGTGAAGTAAACTCTGATGAAGTAAAATCCAATCCGATCCCGTTCATGTTCATGTTTACGATCCGTGTTTGTTTACCTTTTTGACTGCCAATATGGCGTCTACTAACGGAGAGTCACGTGGGGTCCGGAGCTCTATAAAGGGCTTCTGGGTACATTCTACCATCAATATCTTCATCCAACTGTCTGGAAAGTTCTCAAACTCCATAGATTGTGGGCCAGCAACTCACTATTCTTTATTATCTGTCAAGTTTTCAATATCTCTCACAACTGGTTAGAAATCCTCTATGAGAGGCCGTTGAATGGGGGAGTGGTTAGAAACTGATCAGAATGTGAGCGGTTCAGTTCCAGGTCTCTGCGGGTCACTTGTCGCTCACGTTTCTTCAGTACTTCCTAGATTTTCTTCAGCTCGCCTCTTATTAAAGTTACCTTAAAGTGACTTTTTTCGTAACGTACGTGGTGCATTTTACAAGACAGAGGTGAAAACGGCTCGTGCTGTCGGTCACTGCCTCCGCTCGGGTTTTTTTTTCCCTCTCTCTCTCCTCAGGATCCACTGATTTCCCTCTTTCCTATTCACTCTCTCTCATTCTTTACATTTTAAAATCACAATTGTCAATTTTTTTGCTCATTTTAAATATATTTTAATCATTTTCTAAATTCTTTTTTATATTTTACATCTTTTGTTTTTGTGAAGCGCCTCATGATTTTTATCTTGAGAGGCGCTACAGAAAATATCTTTTCTTCTCTCTCTCTCTCTCTCTCTCTCTCTCTCTCTCTCTCTCTCTCTCTCTCTCTATGTATTAATTCATGCACTTAAATATTAATGTTCTGATTTTATTGAAAAACTTGTTCTGTAATAGTTCCTTTACTATTGTGATCAAAAAAATCTAATCTCAATTCTGAGGCTGCTCTGTAAATAGTTTTCAAATAGTTTGTGTTATGCAAATGTAAAGAATGCATACATGTCCTAAACAAGACCTCCTCTGGGACAATCAGATCGCAATCTTGTTTTTCTCTGCTCAGAATACAAACCACTTGTTCAGAGGCAACCTGTGACAAGAAGAACTGTGAGAAAATGGTCACAGGACACTGAAGAAGCCCTGCTGAGTTGTTCTGAGACCACAGATTGGATGACTCTCTGCCAAGGATATGAAGAGGACATCAATGCCATGACTGGATGTGTTACTGACTATATAAACTTCTGTGTGGACAACATCATACCCACCAGAACAGTGAGATGCTTCGCTAATAACAAACCCTGGATCACCAGTGAACTGAAGAATCTGCTAAATGAGGAAAAAAAGAGCCTTCAAGGAGGGAGACAGGGAATTATTGAGGAGTACACAGAAGCAACTGAAGATCAAGATCAGAGACAGCAAGGAGGCATACAGGAAAAAGCTGGAGAACAAACTACAGAGGAACAATATCAGAGATGTCTGGTCAGGGATGAAGAAGATCACAGGCTTCAAGCAGAGAAAGGATTACACAGATGGCAGCCCAGACACAGCCAATGAACTGAACAAGTTCTTCAATAGGTTCAGTTCAGGAACAAACCCAGCATCCTCCTTGCCTGTCCCCAGCCAATCAGACATCCCATCCTCCAATCCAACATTTTCCTGTCACACGCCAGCTCTTTTGTCCTCTAATGCAGTCATGGACTCTTCTGGTTCTATAAATCTGTCTTCAACCAAGTCAGGAGATGCTGCTGCCCCATGTACCTCCCCCTCCCACCTATCTGTCTCTAGAAGTCAGGTGAAGAAGCAGCTGGAGAGACTGAACAGGAACAAGACTGCAGGTCCAGATAGTGTCAGCCCCAGGGTACTGAAGGCCTGTGCAGAGCAGCTCTGTGGGATTCTGCAGCACCTCTTCAACCTCAGCCTGGCCCAGGAGAAGGTTCCAGTCCTGTGGAAGACATCCTGCCTTGTTCCAGTTCCAAAGAAAACTCGCCCATCAGTCAATGATGACTACAGACCGGTTGCCCTGACATCCCACATCATGAAGGTCCTGGAGAGACTCCTGTTGGTCCACCTGAATAAGCAAACTAGAACATATCAGGACCCGCTGCAGTTTAATTATCGCCATGGAGTTGGAGTTGAAGATGCCATCATCCAGCTGCTTCAACCAATCCACTGTCATCTGGACAAAGGAGGCAGCACTGTCAGGGTCATGTTCTTTGATTTCTCCAGTGCATTAAACACAATCCAGACTGATGTACTTTGCAAGAAACTCCAGAAGACACAGGTGGGGGCCTCAACTATCGCCTGGATTAAAGACTACCTGACAAACAGACCACAGTTTGTGAGGCTGAAGAACTGCACATCAAACCAGGCGATCAGTAACATTGGAGCACCACAGGGGACTGTACTCTCACCATTTCTTTTTACCCTGTACACCTCAGACTTCCAGTACAAATCAGAGACCTGTCATCTACAGAAATACACAGATGACTCTGCAGTTGTCGAGTGTATCAGAGATGGACAGGAAGCTGAGTACAGAGAGCTGGTGGAGCGCTTTGTGGCATGGTGTGGAAACAATCATCTGACCTTGAATGTGAACAAAACAAAGGAGATGATTTTAGACTTCAGAAGAAGCAGGGTGGAGTCAAACACTGTTTCCATCATGGGAGAAGAAGTGGAGGTGGTTGAGGAATACAAATACCTTGGAGTTCACCTGGACAACAGACTGGACTGGAGAAAGAACACCAAAGCCGTTTACAAGAAGGGACACAGCAGACTGCACTTCTTGAGGACGCTGAGGTCCTTCAGTGTCTGTAGCAAGATGCTGCAGATCTTCTACAAGTCTTTTGTTGAGAGTGTAATCTCTTCAGCCATCGTCTGTTGAGGTAGTAGCATCAGAAGCAGGGACCTGAAAAGGCTCAACAACCTAATAAAAAAGGCTGGTTCTGTTCTGGGGACGACTGTGGAACCACTGGAGGAGATAATGCAAAGAAGGATTCTCCAGAGAATCAAGAAAATGATGGACAACCCTGAGCATTCTCTTCACAAGACTGTCCGACAACGGAAGAGTGTCTTCAGTCAGAGGCTTCTTCAGTTTCGCTGCAACACTGACCGCTACTGGAGATCCTTCCTGCCAACAGCCATTGTAATATACCGTAAATCCTCTAATACAGGCCGGTATTCAATTAAAGGCCGGGTCTCCAATTTTGGCCGGTGTCAGAGTCAGCGGAGGTAATTAATGGCCGGTCTCTTATTGTGGCCGGATGGAATGTGGTAACAAGCAAATATGAGCGTCCCAGCGGCAGGGTTATAGTCCCCAAATCAACCAGCAGTTGGCAGTAGGGGTTCACGCAGACCTTTATTAGGCTTTTTCTTCAACACTTTGTAACGCTACAGACACGATCCTCTATCACGCTCCTACCACACAGAGTCACGGTGTCAGTTAACCATGCTAATTCAACCCGCTCCACAGAACACACATCACCTTCCCTGTGGCTTACATAACACTCACACAACACGCAAATCAGCACATAGGAACTAGCAGAACGATAGGAAACACATATAACACAATACCCAGAATGCACCTGGCTTACAACCCCAGCCAGGTCATTACACTATCAAGTTCAAAGAGAACGTGCTGATTATGCTGCAGAACACTCTGGAAAGCAGCAGTAGGGGGTGTATGAACTACAGTAATCCCTCGTTTATCGCGGTAGATGCATTCCAGACCTGGCCGCGATAGGTGAAAATCCGCGAAGTAGGGACTCCCAGCATGCCCCTCGCGGGGATTCCCTCCACGTCGCACCTACGTCACAAACCGCGGCTATAAACGGAAGTCGCCTTTCCAGCTCAGTCATCGTTTCTTCAGATTCATGATCAGAGTTTCCAACCTACCAATCAATCCAACGAACTATCAGCTCATAGTAAGTCATCTTACTTACTTCTGGAAAGCCCGGCATTTCCGTGTCACTTCGTTGACGCTCGAACGCTCGGGGGTTTCCTAGAGCAGCCGGCGTTTCACCGACGCTATCACTTCCGCGTCTGTGAAACCACGCTCCCTATTGAATTATCGTATGATCACATTCTCTGTGATCAGCAACGCGCTGTGCCAGACCGTAGGTACTGACACGCGATCGTTCATGTCGGTTCATTTCCTTTAATGTTTTCTGTCTTTTATTTGCGCCTGATGCGTTTCGCTGCATGCTGTGGAGCGGGGCGCGGTGCGGGCATCACCTTGTCCTCCGACGCACAGATCACTGATACGGCCACCAAACAGCAAGCGCTCCGCTGTTTTTGCGGTCGGTAGATCTTTTAGAACTGCAGTTCAAAGGTAACTCATGAGGTGAATATATATGAACACAGGCAGCAGTTTTTCTTTAGGATTGAGAGGAGATGCAGGAAGATAATAAACAGACAGGAAAGAAAAATAGTCAAATAAAAACAAGTTAGTTTTTGTACCTGCTGTTGCAACAAACAGACACCATTGAAGGTCATCAGAAGTGAGGAACAGAAAATGAAATAATTATTTTAATGTTTGGAGCAGCAGGAACTCTGAGAGGCTGCAGGCACATCAGTGAGTTTGCGGCTGCTGCGCAGGGGGAGGGGGGAGAGGGCTGAAGCAGGAACTACCGTTGTTAAAAGAAATGTGTTTGACTTTGAAAATGTGGGCACAATTTTAATTGTCAAAAATTCCAGCGAACCATTAGTTCATTTTGCTCAAATAGAAATAGAGGCCTGCCTCTAATACTGGCCCTCCTTCCAATAAAGGCCTGGAGCTTGATGAGCTTGAGTCAAATACAGGCCCGGGCCTGTATTAGAGGATTTACGGTACAACAACTCTTTGATGACTTGATTATTATTGTTATTATTATTCTGAGCTATTACAGCAATCAATTTCCCCCTGGGATTAATAAAGTATTTTTGAATTGAATTCGAATTGAATTGAAATAAACAATACACATAGCAACTTCTCATCAATCCATATCAATTTCAGACTTAAAATAACATATTGATGTAAACCACACCCTCTTCCGGCTAAACTACACCCACTTCCGGGTTAGGCCACGCCCACTCCGAGTACAAATACAGATACAGATAGTGGTGTACTCGCTCATCCCTAATTACCACCACACGCTGACCACTTATAAATGGCCGAAGAATTCCTGATGCCATCTCAGCTTTGTGGCAAAGATGTACACAGTGTTTCTCCCCCAAATTTGTGTGATCTCATTCACATTGTTTCTCCAGTCTGTTCCCTAAGATAGTCGACCTCTGTCCACATTACGCTTCCATTCTTCAGTCTTACCTCCATGGGATCCTTCAGTTGCTCTGCTCCTCACCCCTGGAATTCTCTGCTGCAAGCCATCTGCAACTCTGACTCCCTTGCCACTTTCAAATCCAATCTAAAAACTCACCTCACAAGGCTGTGAACTGTTTATGAGATAGTTCTATAGTATTTATCTGACCTTTGCTCTCCATTCCCTAGGGTTTTGTTTGTGATCACTGCAAACTGTAGCATTTTTCGTTCACCACAGGTAAGGGTTTACTAAACGTTTTTTTATGGCGTTTTATTGAACAGCTTAGAAACACAGCTACAAAAATACCACGATGTATTCTGGGTAATTTTTGACCAAGGCTAGGCTACAAGACACCTCCCGTGTATCCTTGCTCAGCTAGCTAAACGGCTAACAAACGGAGAACCCACGCCTCGGTAGAACATGAACATTGGAACACATCTTGGTGGCTCCTGATGACATATGTCCTAGGCAACCGGGGCGGGGCCAAGACATCAAGGCGAGGTTCCTTGGCATTGAGAAACACCCAGGGACTACAGCCCTGCTGTAATGTAAAGTGCTTTGGAGTCCTCTGACTCTGAAAGGTGCAATACAAGTGCGGATCATTTATCATTATGAAAATGAGAACATGTTCTCAAACATTTTACCTGGTAAATAAAGGTTTAGCACTTCTTTGGTATCTTACTTTTGACTGTGTGCCAGGTGTATTCAGGTCTTGTGATAAACACCAAGCTCAAACTTCGTCTTTACTTCCAACTGACTCATGTTCCTTCCTCTCCTTCAAACCTAATCTTTTTAAATACATGGATGATAAATTATCAAGTATTTTAAAATTGTTTATACCTAAAGCTGAAAATCAGTTTTGACCAAATGGACAAAACACCTAATCAAGCGTCAATTAAACAAACAAGTATAGACAAAAGTTGAACTTACCCATGATGCTACTGATGACAGGAGGCTGCTGGGAGATGAAGACATTCTCACCATTTCCTTTGTACAGTATACCTTACAAAGAGTGAGCAGAGAGACGCACAATATAGAATGCTAATAGTAACTAGGGAACTCTCTCTATAGCAGAAAAAGCTTTTTCTTAATATTGTGACAAGTTTTAAAAATACACAAACAGGGACCACACAGGAAGGCTTGGATCTTAAAGCTGAGTATAACAGAGGGTTTCACACAAGAATGAATGTCGGGAAAGTAAAGTTTTGGTAATGTATCAACTGGGACACAGGAAAAGCAACATCACTGGAATTTAGTGTGAAAGAAAGATTTGATTCTCTTGAAAAAAAAGGACAGTGTGAATTTCAAAACTGATTTGCTACAACAGAGTTGCCTTCTGAAAGAGGAGTCATTTTTGTTTATACACATAAACTCATAGAGGTGTCCCATAACCAGCCTAGTTTCTAGTTCCTACTTCTTTTTGTGTGGAGTCATGCTCTAATAGGTAGATGAGTGGGTGGGTTAGTAGGTACATGGAGAATTACATGAGTAGGTAGTAGGGCTGGGCGATATGACGATTCTAGATCGTAAAACTATCCACACATCTGATGGTCTGTCATTTTTGAGACCGTTTTATCACGATTCACAGTTCTGCTGCTGTAATCCTGCCTCTATGAGAAGGGAACTTCCCTTAGGAAAACCTCTGCTTATTGGCGAATGGCATGCCTTTGTATGACCTTGACCAATCAGAGTGATTCATGGTGATAATAGCACACGCCCCACTTGTTTTACAATCTGTGTGAACAAGCACTGGCATTGGTCGTGGCTGACAACACCAAATAGGTTTTTGTTCAGAAGAGAAATGCCTCGTCCTTTATATGGACCTGGTTTGGCTTTTCACCAGACAACAAAGAGCAAAGAAACATAATTTGCAAAGTTAGCAAGGAGAGCGTCAAGGCAAGTGATAGAAACACCTGTAGCCTCTGGAAATGATTTGTTTTTCCATCTACAGGTCGACCTCTTCAGTATCGGGTCACATGGAGACATAAGTCTTAACTGGGGCTTTAATCTGCAAGAAAGATACTGTGCTTGCCCAAGGTCCCTCACAAGCTCCCTCTTATCTAAGACTGCTTCGCTTCACAGCACAAGATGGATGAACTTTCATAATTAAATCATATAATGAACAATAATGGTTGAAGGATAATAATGTTTTGATGAATCTGTGCTTAAATTACTGTGGTTGAAATGAATATTATTATGTTATGACCAGTAAAGTTAGATTTAACAAGTGAATCACTCTACTGACAGCTCACACACTCAGACACATGACGATGACATGGTTAAACTAATATCATGACACACTGCTTTCTGTTCTACAAATCAGAACTCCTGTATCTGACACAAGGCGTGTTTTCTGAGGTTTTATGGTAAAACCCTTTTTACACGTCAAATTCTGATTTGTTAGTAAATCAAAATATGATGATTATTAAAACAGGATTCACTTCACCATGAGTCAGTTCTTGAGAAAGCTTCGGACCGGCCATCCGGAGCAAAACCTCTTTAACCCAAAGCATCTTTGGACAAGCTGTCAAAAACCTGTTGCATGCTACAGCTGACCGCAAAAGGTTCCTTCAGAATAAAGCTGAACCACCTTTGACTCCTTAAGAGTCCTTCCATAGACGCAAATAACTACCTGTTGTGACCTGGAGACATCCCGAGACCGGTTTAGTGGTGCTGCAGTTTCTCCTACGGACTTCGGTACCTTTGGGGTCTATGGACTTCCTGACATTCCGGATCTACCACAGGGGTCTTCGAGCTGGTACGTAGACTCGACAGATTGCGTCTGATGTGGTTTTATAAACCATCACTATAGTTTATAGCAGACCAAATTCATTCCCACTCAGAACTCAGTTTCTCCAGATACGAAGGTTCTGATAACATCACATTCACACATCATCACACCTCACATTCCATCGACCTAGACTCATTCATCACATAAAGTGTTTCCTAGTTGTCATGTTTTAATTATTTAGAAAATAAATTTCTTACTTTTTATAAACTTGACTCTTCTTGAATTAATACGAAGTGTGTTTGACAATCCCTGAATAAACAAAGAATTCTAAATCTTCTGGTTAACCATTCAAAGACCAATCAGACTGAATTTCCATATTTATATAGAAATACACATCTTATTGGTCAAAGTGTAATGTAATATAATGACCTTTAAAAGCACCCAAAATACATACGTATGCTACACCTACACACCACAAACTTTTTAAATCACTTCCCAAACAAGGCAATGAGAGCACGCTGGCAGCTAAAGTTAAAAAGCCTGCGGCTGCAGCGGCAGCGGTGGCCAGTGCTTCTTCCAGGTAGCAAATGCTAGCAGAAACAATAACAAAACTCACTCCCTATAACAGAGACAGCAAACGATGGAACAGCATGACAGATGCGATGACGGACCACTTGGTTAAAGATTTATGTCCTGTGCAAACAGTAGAAGGAGTGGGATTTAAGAAAATGATAAAAATATTGGATCCATGCTACGAGTTGCCATTCCACGCATGTACGCTGAACGCAAAGAGAGAGTTGCAGAAAATATTAAGAATTAGCAGTTTTTTTTGCTACCACAAACGTTTGAGGAGAAGCGGGGTGATGTGGGTATGTTTGGAGGACTTGGTCAGAAGCCAAGCACAGGCGTTCTGAAGCACCTGTAGATGGTTCAGGGAGGTTTTGATAGATGGTTGAACAAATACAGATAGTGGTGTACTCGCTCATCCCCACCCAGTACATTAACACAGCAGAGAGAGAGCAGAGACTGAGGAGAGCTGTGACGGAGCTGAAGTCTCTGCTGGCTCCTGAATCAGGGCACCCAGTGTCCTTTTCCTCCTCCACATCACAAAGCCAAAGCACTAAAACACAGCCAGCAAAGAAAACAATAGAGTCTTTGGCCTGCTTTTTCAAAACTGCAGCAATTCCCTCAACAATTGCTGAAGAACAGCCATCATACTTGTCCACACCCAAAGTGGATAGTGAAATGGATCCACTTCAATGGTGGAAGGACCATGAGGTCTTTTTTCCAAAAGAGAGTCATCTTGCTCAGAAATATCTTTGCATCTCTGCAACAAGTTATCTCTGTGAGCGAGTGTTTACCACTGGTGGAAATATTTTCACAAAGGGCAGCCCCTAAACCAGATAAGGTGGACAAACTCATCTTCCTGGCAAAAAACCTGAGACTGTCTTGTAGATTTGTTTGGATTGATGGAAGAAGAATACTTTTTTTCATGATATTACTCCAATGTTAGAACTGCTTACACAACACTCTACTGTCTAATGTTGTTACCTATTCATGTATGTGTGCCTGTTTAGTTCATCAGCATTTTGGACAAGTTAATGTTTGAACAAAACATTCACCATTTACATATTTGCACTTTAAATATGTTTCCAATTTTTTAATATATTTTTAAGTTATCTGAAAAACGAGAAATACTGTGACTTTTGTAATTGTTTCTTTCAGCGTCTTTATCACCTCAGGTCAGTCTACAATAGTGTGTAGTGTTAGCACTGTGTTGATTATTCCTAATTGTAATAAATAGATGCCATTTAAATGCACTCCCTCTGTCCGTTCTCCAGTCTCCTTCACTGGTGCAATTCAAAGCTAGCCTAAATACCCGTTTCTTTCATCTAGTTTTTGGCCGATGAGTGTGTTCTTGTGCTGCATTTTAGTTCTTTATGGTCTTAGAGTCTTATTTTTGATCTTGATTTCTAAAAATGCACTCTCTGTATGAAGGTGAATTCTAATCCTGTGTTTTTTGTGTCTACGTTTTTACCATGTGCTGCACTTTGGTCAGCTGACACGCTGCTTTTAAATGTGCTTTTACAAATAAATATGGTTTATATACATGCTTATGTATTCAATGTTTCTCTTCTTCAATATGCAGTTAAAATTATGCTGGTCATCTTTGAAAAAACTTGTGATAAAATGAAAAAATTGCCATATAATCCAGCCCTAGTAGGTAGGTAGGGTTGAAGGTAGGTATGTTAGCAGATCAGTAGGTTTAGTAGACAGGTCGTTAGTAAATAAGTTGGTAGGTTAGTAGGCATGCAGACTATTAGGTATGTACGATCTGACAAAGAATCTTGATTCTGTTTAGTCATACAACTTACCATTCTGTACATCCAGAATGTGATGTTTGTCAAGAGTCCACCCTCCCATGTTGGAAGCATCCATTTCGTAGCCTTGCAGTATGGCTGTTCTCTTCTCCCACAGAATGAGGTCTAGGCAGGACTCATATTCAAAGCCCACAGACACTGTTGGGACAAAGAGGACAGCCAATTCCTGTGTTGTTTTTTTATACTCAGGGATCTTACAATTTTCATCAATCCATCCATTTTCAGCTGCTTATCCAGATCCGGGTCGCGAGGATAACATCCTAAGCCGGGAGGCCCAGACATCCCTCTCCTTGGTTACTTAAGCCAGCTCCTCCAGAGGAATCCCAAGGCATTCTCTGGCCAGGTGAGAGACATAGTCTCACCAGCGTGTCCTGAGTCTTCCCTTGGGTCTCCTCCCAGTTGGACGTGCCTGGAAAACCTCACCAGGGAGGCGTTCAGGAGGCATCCTAATCAAATGAACGAGCCACCTCAACTGGCTCCTCTCAATCTGGAGGAGCAGCGGGTCTACTCCGAGCCCCTTCCGGATGGCCGAGCTTCTCATCCTATCTCTAAGTGGGAGCCCAGCCACCCAGCGGAGAAAACTCATTTCCGCATCTTGTATCTGCTCGATATATCTGAGAGGAGCTCAACCAAACACGTCTACACCATACTGTGTACGCTAGCGCCCCCCCCCCTCCGTACCAACATTTTTGAAGGTTGATTAGTCAAAAAAACACCCAAATTTCTTAAGTTTGTCTTGACGACAGAGGATAGATGACCTAGTTTTTTACTTGAGTTCAGCCTTCGATACCATCTCTCACACCATCCTCCTCCATAGATTGTCTTCCCTTGGCATTTCTCATACCCCGCTTGATTGGTTTCGTTCATATCTCTCTGGCCGTACTCAGTTTATTCAACTCAAATCCTTCACTTCCCGTCCCTTCCCTGTCACTACTGGCGTCCCCCGAGGCTCTGTTCTCGGTCCACTCCTATTCATCACTTACGTTCTTCCCCTGGGAAATATTTTCCGTAAATTTGACATCCATTTTCATTGTTACGCGGATGACACCCAGCTCTATGTATCCTCCAAACCCTCCTCTTCACTCCCTCCTTCCTCCCTCACCAATTGTTTATCTGAAATCAAAGACTGGTTCACATCAAACTTTCTCAAACTTAACAGTGATAAAACAGAAATGTCACTTGTCGGCACTAAATCTTTACTATCCAAAATCCACAGCTTTACACTTCCTGTTGACAACTCCTTAGTTTCCCCCTCCCCTCAGGTCAAGAGTCTGGGTGTCATGTCATTTGTGTGATGTCTAATGTTTGTCTCAGAGAAAAGTGGGCACTGTCATACATTCAGTGTGTAATTCATTGTGTTCCATTTAGATAATTGTGTTTTCAGTTTTGCTCTTCAGTGTTCTTTCCATGCTTGGTAGTGTTCACCCAAAGGCTACTTGTGTTTAAGCAATGGATGGTGTGTGTGTCATGTGAAAATGTGGCTGTGTTTACCAAAGGAAAACACGTGTTCCATTTTGGGAACATGTTACGATGTGTGATGGCAGGGTTTTGTTGCAAAGGGAAGCCACGGTTTAGGAATTTGTGTGTTATGTTTGGGGTTTTGTGTGTGCAGTTTTGAAAGAAACGTACAGTTTCAAAAAATGCGTTTTAGCAATCGAAAAAACTGTAATTAAGGTGATGTGATCAACAATGTCAAAAGCTGCAGAAAGATCTAACAACACTAACACTGTGAACTCCCCGTTGTCTGCAGCCATCATGATGTCACTGGAAACTTTAAGCAAAGCTGTTTCTGTTGAATGCTTTTTATGAAAACCAGACTGGAATTAATCATAATTGTTGTGTAGTTCCAGAAAAGTTATCAGCTGATCTGCCATAACCTTTTCGAATATTTTAGAGAGAAAGCGTAATTTAGAAATGGGTCTGTAATTTTTAGGCTGAGATGAGTCCAAACTTGTTTTTTTAAGGATAGGTTCAATGTGGTCTTTAATCATGATGTGTGTCTGAATAATTCCTATACCATTATGTACATTCATCCATGCCTTCTTAAATGACATGGCAGGGTAAACTGTTACATGTAGCTAAGTCTAAGACAAGCTAATAATAAGCTAGTGACTCCTAAATGCTAACAATTCGAAAGTAATGTTTTTTTTGTAATATGGATTATGTCAACTGTTACTAATCTTTATTAAAGTAAATATAGATATTGTTGAGATAATACCATTTGTTAGAAGTAAATAGCTAAAGTTTTGGTTGGAAACAGCATCCTTACCTTAGAAACCCCCATTTCTAATGTTAGCTCAGCTCTGGGTCAAAGTAGCGATGCCTTCTCTGTTGACTCGGCTTTCCCTGAGCGTGCCCGTTAGGAGGCGTGGCTTTTGGCTCTTTCAGGAAGGGGAGGAGAGTGGGCAACAGCCTTTTGAATTTCAAAATCTCATCCTACTCGTCTGGATGATGTCAGTTTACGGACCCTGCCTTTAATCCTTTAAGGGCCAAAGTCGCAGAATTGCAAAAAGCATCATTGCAGTGTTTAATGAGCCACAGCTGCAAACATGCCTCATGAAGTCATTATTTTACACCAGAAAATAGTGGAGAGGTATAACTTCAATCTGAGCAACACTTATGCGCATTGTGGCCAAACGCATTCTTTAAACAGATGTTCGTTTTTTTGGTGAAATTGAACTGAATTAATTCGTATTTTGCCTGACAAACATTAAAGTGAGTGCATTTGTTTGTTCTGGCGTGTGCGAACGGGCTTATGAACGTGCTATTTTGATGTCCGAGCTCCAGATCTCCATGGAGCTAAAGCCTAGCTAAAATATCCTGTTAACCATACAGTTTATAAGAAGTAGAACCTGCAAATGTGGCCACCGTAGGCGGTCAGTGTGGTGTGTTTTCTTCTCTGCTTATGCTGTGTGGAGGAGGTGTGTTGGTGTGTTCCTTTTACCTTGGAAAATATACAACTACACATAACATTGGTTTTAGATGCACCATTAAAGGTTTGTCTTGTGAAATAAACACATTTCCATCACAGCTACTATTGTTATTACAAGGAGCTGCTACATTGAACCTCAAAGTTGAATTAAAAAACATTCTCTGACTTTGAGGTTGTTCCAGTTCATTATTTACTCTCTGAAGATTACATTTGCGAGTATGGAATTAGCAGAAGTCAACTGGAGAAAACCCAAACATGAAAACACAAGTCAGAGTCGCACCAGTAATATTTAATTATTTGCATTGTTTTTTACTAAATCATTTGGGGCTGATTGTTGCTCTATAAATTTTTCTTTGAGCAAACAAGTAAGAAAATTCACTGAATTTGAGAAGTTCCTTAATTTCAAGATAACTAAATGTTTTACACTCTTAATATTGCAATTTGAGGTACATTCTTGTTTCCTATCTCAGCCCTCTGGTTGAGTACTAATGCACCTTTTTATGAAAACAATTCAAACAGTTTTTTCCTCATGTTATTGAGAATATATATATATATATATATATATATATATATATATATATATATATATATATATATATATATATATGAAAAAAGAACTATGAACTAGTTCGTTTTTGGAATAGTGAACTTAGTTAAAAAAATTAAACTAAACTTGAACTAGTTTGTTTTAAAATCGAATTTCCCAGCAGTGCTTATGGGTGAACTTCTATTGAAATCATCGGACTTTATAGAGTTTGAAAACTACTTCCTGTCAGGTGTTTCCTGAGGAGATGAGACGAGTGCCCACAGAGGGCAAATATTAGAGGAATAACATACAACGCTGACACGCCTGTTCATTGTTGACAAATTTTTTTGACTAATAATGGCTGACTCTAAGGCCCTGTCCACACGTAGCCGGGGATCTGCCAAAACGTAGATATTTTTCTACGTTTTGGCCTGTCATCCACACGAAAACGGAGTTTTTTCACATGAAAACGGATCTTTTTAAAAACTCCGGCCAAAGTGAAGATCTGCGTTTTCTCCGTTTTGGGTGTCTGCGTGTGGACAGACAAAACCGGAGTTTTAAGGTCCGCAACGTCACTTTCCGCGACAAAAAAATGCTGACATCACGTGTGCGACCTGTGTTTACCCTAGCCGACAGCATGGATGCCCTCAGAGCTGCGCTCGCTTTATCAATTGTCCAAGCGCTTTTTGCTTGTTTGTTTTTGCAAGAGGAATTACTGCTCCTTGCGGAAGACCACAGACGAAGGACGAGGTTAAGAACGGGGGAAGTACTGCCGCCTACAGGTCTGGCATGTCCTTAACAACGTATTTATCCGGGTACGTGTGGACAGTTTTTTTTTAAACGAGGTGGTGTGGATGCAAGTTTTTGGAGGGGCGGATATTCGTTTTTAAAAAAACCCGGCTACGTGTGGACTAGGCCTAGTTCTGACAAGGAATATTCACCCTCTGATGAAGATAATCACTCATCCGGTGAGACTGTGCGCTTCATTAACAAGCTGCACATGGATGGTAAAAACCATTACTAACGGTGACAGAAGTAGTGGGAATGTAAAAAAAAAAAAAGTTAACGTGAATGAGCCCAAACTGAACTGACCCAACTGAAAAAAACTGACAAATGTGGCTTTGAAGCATTTCTCTTGAGTGAGGCCAATATAAATATAAAAAAAATACTATATAAACAATAAAAAATGAAATAAAAAAGCAAAAATAACTTCATGTAATAAATTATATAACAATTATATATGTATTATATAATAAATAAAACACAAAAACAAAATGAAAATTTCTAAATAACATGTAAAAATAAGAAGGAACATCTGTAAAATGATGCATTCCAATATAGCAGCCTGATGTCATAATAGACAAATTAGATGGAGTGAATTTTCTCCCAAAACAAACTTTGAGTCCTACTGAAGATTTGTCTCATTTATAGTTTTCCTTTACCTGTTAGCATTTTGAAATAGTCATGTCAAAATTAAATATTTACTTCAAACAACTCTGGTGCCCAAATGATTAATGACACTTAATTGTTTTATAGTGAACATCACTGATTATGTCAGCTACTGGTTGTGGTTCTAAACACAATACAGAATGCTTTGCCTAAGTCTTCACATCAATATTGTAGGGCCAGCCAGACTTTGTTACGCAGCAAAACACTGAAGGTAACTGTAAATGTTTGCTAAGTAAGGGGATTGCTGTAAAGTCTGTGAAGTGCCTTGAGATGTTGTGATTTGGTGCAATATAAATAAATTGAATTGAATTCAAATTGAAATAAAGTGACTAAATGCTTTTCTAGTGCTGGATGATCTGCAGCAAACTCACCAACTGCCTCTGACAGTCCATAGACACGCTGGCCATAGGCATCTGTCTTGTCCCAGATAAAGGTGTAGGACAAATTGGGTTGAGCAGGGAACCATTTCTGGAAGAGGCGACCCACCACTGCCACCTTTAGATGGACCTGGATCAAGAGGGCTAGATTTAAAAATCACTATAATTTAACAGCGTTCAACAAGTGAGATCGGAATGTAGTGAATCAGAATTTTGAACCAAAATACGGCATCATGCCATACACACAATGAAATAATTCCCATTATACCTTCATCAGACTGAATGGAATTGATGACTGTGTCATGGAGACTTTGAGGACTGGTTTATATCCAGCAGCTCTGGAGCTGAAGAAGATTAGGTGAAGAGCACTGCCTGGAATTGACGTTTTTTCTTGCAGAACCTATGAAAATAATTAACGGCATTTATCAGCAAATTACCAAATCCATTCATTCATTCATCCATCCATCCATGGGCGGACTGGTGATAGGTAGGGTCTAGCACTTATTCATTGTCTGATTTTCTGGTTTCACTGTATCTGCATGTCTCCATTTCACTGGACTGGTGCAAAAGTCTCACTTTCCAGGCCATTTCAGGAACCGAACATGTTTCTGCCTCCTAGGAGATGGCTAGGTAGAGTCATTGGGTGGGATTTGTGACTAAACCTTGTTGAGTGATTGTAACTCTAAACCTAACCAAACAAATGACATTTGTAAAATTGGAAGTTACTGGTGAAGTAGAATTTAATGAAAAAAAAAACATCGATTCTCATTCTTAAATTCCCACTGCTGAAAAATGCCTCCAAATTCACCGCACAACACCATAATATATGCTGCTCTGTGCTCTCCTAAAGAGCACCATAAAAAATTTCTTGTGGTGAATGAACATTCCCCTTTTTACATCACACAGTCACTCTTTTAATAATTGTTAATTATTTCCCTGCCAATTGTTGGCAACTTTAGGTGCTGGTTAACCCTCTGGAGGCAGGCGTTGCAGATTTGCAACGTTAAAACCTACCTACCTGGTTACTCCACATACGTATTTCATGAGTATTTTTTAACTCAGAAGCACCTCTGAAGGACTTAGTTGTTCGTCCTTTTATTAAAACCTATTTTGAGCCTGAGAGGGTTAATGTAGTCATGCAGAAATCTTGGCAAATTCATGAAAAGAACAATTTTATGTGAAGACAATGGCTAAGATGACCAAGCAAGTGTATTTTCCCTGCCACCATCGCCCCTCCCAGAAAGCCTTTTATACTGACTTAAGACAGCAGAGGGAACCCTGATAAATTGTAAACATAATGGGGAAAATAAAAGGTTGTAGTAATTGAAAGAAAGCAAATCTCAACTTGAAAAATAACAGAAAAACATGCTGGTCTTTAGAAAAAAAATAATAAACTGATGACAAAATTTCCTGGTAGGTGTGATCTTCTTACTGCTATGTTTCCCAACCCTGGTCCTTAGGGAACTCTTTCCTGCATGTTTTCCATGTTGCCCTTTTAACCACCAGTGTTTCCCTTCTGCCACACGCCTCACTTAAATGAATGAGTGATTAACAGGCATCTACAGCACTTGATGTCCTCCTGGGGAGGCAATGAAAATCAGACGTGCTGAGGCAGAGACAAGGAAACCATGTTCTGAGGACCTGGGTTGGGAAACACTGTAATATGACTCAAACATTTTCTGGATCAAACAGAATTAATGTTTTTAGCTGCTTAGGATTCGGGGAACACAGATGTGCTTGTATCTGTGCGTTTGATCGACATCCACCAGCAATTTTTACATTGCACCCTCAGCACAAACCATTTCCGATTGATAAGGAACTGCTCATCTTTTCCTGCTGCAAATGTATTCATGCATGTGATGTGTTCACATCTCAGTTACTGTATAACCTCATTGTCGCAGGCTTCCATACCTTTGCGTAAGCCAATAACAATGATCTAATATGGATCTTTAAAAATATTACCCAGAAAATCAGTGACAGTACACCATTGTGAAATATTGCAGGGGTTACCATTTTTCTGTGGTTCTTATACATACACACAGAGCTGTAAACACTTTGTTTTAACCTTTTTAGCCAACAGTTTTGGATTTAGTCACCTTCGTCTGAGCATCACAGGTGTTGTTGATGACGAAGGTGAGACAGGGGCCAAAACTGTCAGCTAAAAGTGCAAAAACAAAGCGTTTACAGCTCTGTGTTTATATAAGAACCAAAGAATAATGGAACTGAAAAAGCAACTTAGAATGAACTTACTGACTGTAGGGGTTACATTTTTTAAGTTTTGAACATATTTTTTTATTTAGCCAATTACTCTGCTCACTTTATCTGATGCCCCTTGGTCTTCTTTTAAGTTCGTTTGGTATTCGCTTCCACTATTTGTCTATTTATTTGTTTGTTTATTTAATAGGGACAGTGCATATTAATAACATTAAACAACAAATAGTATCAGTAAATATGCCATATTGTGGCTAAAATGTAATGATACTAATTTGTATTAGATTTTATACCCAGTTTCGATGCCCCGGCCTCTTAATCTTTTTCTGGATTTTATTTTTTGCTTTTACTCTCCTCTTTTAATTGATTTTATGCTGGTTTTATGATTGTTATATTTTATTCTGATGGTTTTATGTTTTGATTGTGTTGTGTTCAGCACCTTGGGCATCTGCATTGGTCGCAGAAGGGGCTTTATAAATAAATGAAATGAAAATGAGTGCCAACTAGCACAACTGAACTGACAAACCCATCCCCTAGTCCCCCTGCCCAGAAAAATAGAAAAAAAGTCCTTATATCATATTGTAGAAAATGACAAGGATCATCATTTAAATATTAATATGTATTATGAGACTACTTCACAGAACACCAAACATGAAAGCATCTGAAAATATTCCAGAATACTGTAATTGTTATTAAGAGGATATTGTTATCTGTTATGAGCGCGGTTGCTGCTACTTTTGTTTGTTTGTTGTGAAAAATGAAAGAGCTGCAGGGAAATGCAGCTTTATCTCAGCTGTTTGCTTGAATACTTTTATAAAAGAAATACTAAGAACAAAATGTTGTTCTGTTGGATGTTGAACCCCCCCCCCCCCCCCAACAAAAAAAAAATAAACAAAACTAAACATTTTGGATCTATTCAAATCATATAAACGCCATGATTGGCTTCAAAAACTGCAATTTTCACTGAAAAGTTACACGTTTGCAAGTATGATAGTGCTTACATCGGCAATTACTCCAACTTGCATTTTGCAAGCAGGAGTCAGGTCTTGCTGTTTCTCTGACAAGATGAATCACAGACACCCAAAGCTCCTAAAATGCTTCTTTCTTTGTGTTACCTGAGTTTCAGGAATGATAGGGCCCTCCTCCAGAGACTCTCTATAGAATCTAGACAAAGGGGATGCAACAACGACTGGACTGGGTCTGATGAAACCACTGAGGTCACAGCTTGGAATGTCATTCTCCTCCTGAAACGAGCAGAATACACCAATAGGTCAAACTCATGTCTTCAGTGGCCAAGTCAGACTCAGACTTCAGCTTTGTGATTTCATTAACTGGTTCTTTTCTTCTGGCACCCGGAGAGTACAGCTGCTTCTCTTTTCTCTCCCTAATCTTATTTTTCCAATGCTCGTGTCCTGTCTGCCTACAGAGCGCTTCTCTGCATTCCTCCTAAAACTCTATGTTTAATCATGGATTTGATTAACTGGTCATTCAACGTGATCAACAAGATTTTTTCAACAATGACAACGGAGCAGGGGGCTCCTACTTGTCCACAGGGGACGTACCCAGTGGGATATATGTTGGATTCCTGGAAGAAGTGGAATATTATATGCCTCTCCCAGCTGTCCATGGAGCACATCGAAGACGTGTGGAATTTTGGCCTCATAATGACTGGATTTCTTCTGCTTGGAGTGGGAGGATTTGTGGTATTTTGGAAAATTGGGAAGACGGGAGCGATTGAAGGGCAACCCGTACCCATGGAAAGTCACCTTGTGGAAACTGCTCAGACTGGGACAACACTCGAGGTGAATCTTAAGCTAGAGGTTCTAGCTGCGATCCCGGTATTAGTGCGCAAAATGGATGTGATCTTGGAGAAAGTCAATGCACGGTATGGGCAAGTTTAAACCCAAAAATTGGATTCACTGAGGGACTGGAATGATCAGTGAAAGACTGACAGGCAGAGAGAAAATTAACTCTGTCTGACCCAAACAATTCTTCCTATCTGAATCTGGTGTCCAGGTAGCCATGAGCTGCGAGAAGACAAATCCCCCATGAAGGAATGCAGACAGATGCTGTGGGAACCTGACCCCCCCCCCCCCCCCCCCCCCCCTGCCTTCGGATTGGTGGACTTAGCCTGGCGAGGACATCAACTGAAGGAGTCAATGTACTCTTCACTCTCCCTCGAGCTCCCTCCCACCTGTGATTCAACAGTGTATGAGTACCTCTGAAGATGGCTGCCCTCTCTAGGGGAAAACAGGGTCTCAGCCCATTGGAGTCTCATGTTGTGTGAATTGTTGATGTTCGTGCTTATAAGTTTGAGGTGTCTTTTGCATAGCAAAGCTACCCCCTGTCGGGAGCAACCCTGAAATGCCTTTTTTCCCTTCCCCCCATTTATCCTCATGTAACCCTTTTCTATCTAACTGAAATGAGCGCCTTCAATGGCAGCTCTCGTCGTCTGCCTGTATCTGTTTTGTTCTACATGTTGTGTGTGTGTAACCTTGGTCAGGCTGTACTGCGGAGTGAAATTTCTGTGCTTTGGGATGCTGGGGCACTCACAGTAAAGCTGATTCTGATTCTGGTATTGTACTCTTATTAGATCATGGTCAAGTAATTTGCCATAACTTACCTTCTTCATGACCAATGTGTCCATCACATAGAAAACATTCCACGGCAACCACACCGTCCTGTACTGGGTTAGGAATGGAGGTCGCTCAAAACGTAATGTTAAGGATGCTCCTCCATTGGCCAGGATGTCAAACCTGTGAGTACACCAGCCCCAAATGATCAAAGGTATGTTACTGGCAGACAACACCAAGCCCACAAGGCCTGTGGATATCAATCACATATTAGTGTCAACGTTTCCATGCAGATTGGAGCCAAGTAAACCAAAGTAAAATCATTTTGGGGGAAGCAAACAGAAAATGAGTACATACATTCCATCCCTGCGTGTTATAGTGAATCCATGATCAGGATAGTGAGCAAATGTCACATTGACTCCAATCAGAGGTGTTCCATCAGAAGTCAGCACCTGGCCTCTAATTACTGACACCAAGCTGCAAACAAAGACACAGTATTTATGACACGTATGGACCACCCTACTGAGCAGAAACATTTGTTATAGCAGATCTGGTGGAACATCAACCTTCTAATCCAATCCACCGTTATTTACTGTATATAGCACTTTAAACACAAATCTATTGACCAAAGTGCTGTACAGATGAAAACAAACCAGCAAAGTTAAAACACTAAAAGCAAACATAAAACACTAAAAACATACTGAAAGATAAATAAAAAACACAACACAGCATAAAACAAACAAGAGTGGATAACAACAATCAGGCAGTGTTAAACACAAGCAAATAAAAGTGCATCTTGAGAAGCGATTTAAAAACCACAAGCAAGGAGGCCTGTCTAATAAAAGTAGTTGGTTCCATAGTCTAGGTGCAGCAACAGTAAAGGACCTATCACCCCTCAGCTTCAGCCTTGTCCTTGGAACCATCAACGGTGGCTCATGTGGCAAAAGAATGTCTGATAGGTAAGAAGGTGCCAACCCATTTAAGGATTTATACGCCAACACCAGGTTCTTAAAACAAATTCTAAAAAAACACTGGGATCCAGTGAAGCTGTAGCGTTAAGGATTGGCTACTTATTTATTAAATGGTGTGATGTTCCATATAAATATGAAATATCAATCTGATTGGTCTTTGAATATTTTATTTAATATTCCTTTAGGTTCTTTGACTTATTCAGGCAACATTTCTACTTCACACTAAGAGTTAACCTCTCTGAGTATCTGAGTGAAGGTGTGATTTCTGGATATGAGGCAAAAATGGATATGAGGCCATTGCAGTTTGGGCCATTTTGTCTCGTTGTTTATCCACTCACCTGGATGTAATGCATAGGGGTCTTTAAGTTGTTTCTCATTCACTAAAGTTAACTTTGCTGCATTATCCTTTTGGTCACTTGGTGAAAAACTGCTGTAGTATGCTGAAAACATCGCTAGCTAACAACTTACGACATAACTCCAACACAATGACTGCTGAAAACAACATTATCTTATAGAGCCGGCATCTCTTTCTGCCTACGTGATGTGCGTGCATCCACCATATTTGTAAACAAATAAGGGGTCTATGCCGTCTCTGGAGGACTTTCATGATTTGAGACGTTAGGACAATAGGTCTATAGTCATTGAAGACAGATGGATTAGATTTTTTAGGTACTGGAACAAGGCAGGATATCTTCCACAGCACAGGAACCTTCTCTTAGGTCAGATTTGGCTCTGCAGAATCCCAAATCGCTGGTTTGCACAGGCTTTGAGGATTCTAGGACTGACACCACCTGTACCTGCAGACTTGTTCTGGTTTGTCTCTAGCTGCCTCATTACTTTACTGCTAGACACAAACAGGCAGGAGTGGGAGGTGAGGAGGGCACCAGCATCTCTTGAAGTGATTTACAGAACAAAGGCAAACATTTACAAGTGATTAAAGATACTAGGTGAAAACAACAGTGCCAAGTGGCTGCCCTCTGGTAGAGATGGGTATTAAAATGAAGGACACGTCGTAACACAGATGCATGTGCAAGTTCGTAATATTCAAACATTGTTTTAATTTTATATTAAAACAATGTTTGAATATTGCGAACTTGCACATGGATTTTTAAGGAAAGGATTTTTAAACACAAATCTCCATTTCTAAAAGGTCAATAAAAAGTGTTAAAAAGGCAAGTGATTACATGTTTAAAAAAATGGGGATTCTCAATTAAAACAGAAATGTCAGAGAATCAGAATCAGAATCAGAGAGAATTTTATTGCCAGCGCTCCAGCGAACCAGAGCATAGGAACTTGACTCCACAGAACAGCCTGACCAAGATTACACACACATATATAGACAGGACAAATACAGGCAGACCACGAGAGCAGCCATAACGGCGCTCATAATGTAAAAAGCTCCCAAACCAAAAGCATTCTGGTCCTTCATCTGTTTTAGAAGCCTAAAAAGCACTCTGGCTTTCGCACATCTATACTCAACAGTCTAAACTAAAACCACTAAAACCCTTAAAACACTAATGGAGCCAGCAATGAGACATGGCATGGATCTGGTCTCAATCTCTCTCTGAGTGTCAGTCTCCTTCTCTCTCTCTCCCTCCTCTGTGTGTGTGTGGAGTCTTTATCAGCTGCAGCGGGGTGATTACAAATGGCGTTTAGCTGAGTTGAGAGAGAAGTGTGCTGCTTTCTATGGTGCTGAAAGGTGGCCAGCACCAGAAGAAAGCTGGAGCTGTCCTGGGCTTGTCTACTGGTGGGATAAAAAGCCAGAGTTCGTAACACATGTGGACATCTTCATGTCTGAACATGGTGTTCAATATGAACAATCCACGAAGAGCACATGACAAACACCACTCAAATTCAGATCTGGTGTCCTCACTGCTGTTGCCCACGTGAGCGTTGAAGTCCCCAAGCAGAACGAGGGAGTCACTGGAGGGAGCGCTCTCCAGCCCCCCCTCCAAGGACTCCAAAAAGGGTGGGTAGCCTGAACTGTAGTTTTGATTACAGTCAGCACCCGTTCCCCCACACGTAGGCTGAGGGAGGCTACCCTCTCATTCACCGGGGTAAGCCCAAACGTACAGGCACCAAGAAGGGGGACAACTAGTATGCTCACCCCTGCCTGTCGCCTCTCAGTGGGAGCAACTCCAGAGTGGTAGAGTGTCCAGTCCTTCTCAATGAAACTGGTTCCAGAGCTAGAGCCACACGTCGAGGTGAGTCCGACTATATCTAGTTGGGACCTCTCAACCTCACACACCAACTTAGGCTCCTTCCCCACCAGAGAGGTGACAATCCACGTACCAAGAGCCAGCTTCTGTAGTCAAGGATCAGACTGCAAACGTCCTCACCTTCGGCTACCACCCATCACACACTGCACCTGACCCCTTTGGCCTCTCCCACAAGTGGTGAGCCCATGGGAAGGGGGACCCACGTTTCCTCTTTGGGCTGTGCCCGGCCGGGGTCCACGACTGAAGGATTAGGCGCTCGCCGACGTACCCCAACTCCAGGCCTGGCTCCAGAAGGGGGCCCCGGTGACCCGCATCTGGGAGAGGGAACACTGTTTCCAATTGAAGTAATCATCATAAGAGGTATTTGGGCTGCACTTTGTCTGATCCCTCAAGTAGGACCTGTTTGCCATGGGTGACCCTACCAGAGGCATAGAGCCTCATACAACTTAGCTCCTAGGATCACTGGGACACTCAAACCACTCCACTACGGTAAGATGGCAGCCTAGGGAGGGGCAAAGGGATCTACCGACAGCAGAAATAACAATGTGCATTACGTGGCTGTACCTGTGAGAAGTCACCAGAGAAAGGGTGATGAGCTCCACTGCAGCGGAAACACGTCAGGAACGAATAAACAAATAAAATACAATTTATCAAATGAAAGTTTTTATTTATTCCTGACGGGAACCTCTCCTCTGGCCCAACCACATTTATAGCCTCAGCAACTAGTTTGGTTCTGTTGCACTTCAGCAGCCATGTCTCAATCTCTCAAGTTTTCTTTCTTTCCGGGTAGAACGCAGGGAATCCCGTCACGTGCTGAGGTCATGACGTGACCAAAGATAGATAATTGAGGGCATTTCTGCATGCAAATGACTGAGAACGGGAACGAGCTCCTGGGTACGCACAGATGAGATTTACCATCAGACGAGTGCAAAGGAACGTGCGTACAAAAGGCCACTGCATGTTTCATAAATCAGTCTTTTGACCGTTCGTACGACTATTCAACATTTCATTCATAGAATCAAAATCAGGACTTTTTCTATGAATGTTTGATGAATGAGGGCCCTGGTGTTCAGCACTAGGGAGAGACAGCTGTGATCAGCAGAACAATGACACTAAAATGTCAGGGAACTCTGAAATATATGTTTTACTTTAGATGAAAAGTGTGGAAGTCGTTCTGCCTTGACTGCCAGAAAATGGAAAGCTTCGCAATAATAGGTCTTAAAAAACAATTGGAGTAGTAATTCTAATTTTCCACTTGAACAGGTAAACATTGACGTGACAGATTTCTGCAGTTTATTCTAATCAGGGAATAAAAGACAGCAGTTGCTACTATTTTATTTTCTCATTAGATGTTCACCTTTCAATGAATCTTGATTCCCACAACCAACAAACCAACTAGTGATGGGAATTCTGGCTCTTTTTAGAGAGCCGGTTCTTTTGGCTCAGCTCACCAAAAAGAGCCGGCTCTTTCGGCTCCCAAGTGGCTCCTCAGATTTTCAGTTGCGTAGAGTACATTTATAACCAAAATAATGCAAAACTATGTGTAAAATGATTTACTAAATTTAAAAAATGCTATATATCAAATATTTATCATTTCTATGGATTTAATAACTGAACACTTTCAGAAATCTCCACTTTCCGACTGCTGGCGCTCATTTTCTCAACGTCTTCGTCACACTCTCCTCTCTCTCTCTCTCTCGCCATTTTCCTCCTCCTCATTCCCTCTCGTCTCCCTCCGCCCGCATGTGCTCTGCTGTGTGTCTGAGTCTTATTCTCCCTCTTCCCCACCCCTACTGCTCTGTGTGTGGACAGTCTGGACACGCAGTTACACATCTTGACCAATCACCTGTGGCTTTCACCAAAGCAAAAGGGGAGGGGGGGAGGGGGGGGGGGGGGGGGGGGGACAGCTCCCAATGACGAGCCGGCTCCCGTCGTTCACTTCAAAGAGCCGGCTCTTAGAGCCGGTTCGTTCGCGACCGACACATCACTAAAACCAACCACCCGCAGACTTGCGCACACACACACACACACACACACACACACACACACACACACACACACACACACACACACACACACACACACACACTTGCATTTATATGTTTGTATGGACCTCCATTGACTTCCATTCATGTTAGTAACGCCACTATGCCTAACCCTAATCATAACCAATGGGGGTTGTTTCTTAACCCTAACCTAAACTAAAAGCTTATGCACACCAAAACCAAGTTTTAGGGTGCTTCGTACTGTGTGGACCAGCAAAATGTCCCCACACCGTAAAAATGTCCACGTTACAGGTTAAAGTTAACATTTGTCCACATAAACCTGCAAAGACAAGTATAGACACACACACACACACACACACACACACACACACACACACACAGTACCTTCTGTTGAATGGACTTTCTCCCATAAGGATGTGAGTAGATTCTGGACCAACCAGGAAGTGAATGCGCTGATGAAAAGATCTGGCAGCCTACCCGATATAAAGCACAACAGTCTAAATGATGCTGATATGTAGAATGATTTCTAACTTTTATGGCTTAGCCTTACTTGCTGAGGAGCCAGTGAGGATGGAGACTGGCTAAGCACCTCCACTGGGTCTGGTGAACCTTTGCAGTACAGCTGGTTCTGACAGGAAGGCAGCAGACAGCAGTCTGGATCCATACAGTCAGCCAGACTATCTAAAACATCCAACAGAGCGATACAGAAACAATGGAGAAAAAGGAAAAGTCAAAAGGATGATTAATGAGTTTTTTTAAGGTTCCTGATCATATTTTAAATCTTCAAGAACCATTTGTAATACTGAGATGTCATTTGTCTTGAATACAAATTATTTTCATCAGCCTGAATTTAAACCCAGAGATAAAACAATTAGTTTAATTGAAAATCCGCCCATGCCCGCTCCGACAAAACGTGCTTATAACAGGTGAGTCGGTTGCTGTATGGTAGTCCTGTAGAATCCGTCTTCACCTTCCACCTGCTGACGTGGGTTCGACTCCTGGTTGTGTCAGCAGTGATTTATGTAGCCAGCTGAAGAAGATTTCATGTTTTTATATTTTAGCTTTATTTGTTATTTTCTGCAAAATATTTTGCGTCCTTAAAATCTTTGAATTTGGCCCTTTCCAATGAGCATTTTAGTTAATTTACTCTGCTCTCCTCACATGGACTCACACTGGCTAAACAAACAAAGAAAGTAAATAAAAAACCTTAGTCCTTACTTTTTAAACAGTTTACCAATAGAGTTGAAAACATAATACTGGCCAGTGTACATAAAAAAAGAAAAGTTACTGCTCAGACCGGGATGCAAACCTGTGGACTACCAAATCCAGCCAAAGCCACATGTGCTAGCCAAGGGAGACAGGTTTCAGACCAGAGACTTGTTTCTGGGAGAGGACCAGGGCTTGATAACAAGGTTAGTTTCCATTGACGCTTTACAGGATTTTCAAAGTAAAACACAAATTTGCAGCTGAAACCCGTTAAGTTCTATGTAGATGTAGATGAAAATAAGTCAGACAAATCCATAATTAATGGGTGGATGGGCGTAGCGATAGATGGGTGGGTGGGTAAATGCATTGCTCCAAAAATAAAGGAACACAAAAATAAGACATCTAGCTCTAAATGAATGAAACATTCCTATTAAATATGTTGTTCTTTACATAGTTGAATGTGCTGTAAATAAAATCACACAAAAATTGTCAATGGAAATCAAATGCATCAAGCCATGGAGGTCTGGAAGAACACACCACAGACGGATCCAATTTAAACATACCGTATTTTCCGGACTACAAGCCGCTACTTTTTCCCCACGCTTTGAACCATGCGGCTTATAATGAGGTGCGGCTTTAGTCAACCAGAAAGGATGGATGCTGGAAAGTCTAATGAAGGAATGGTTAAAGGAGTGCTACGGAAAGCGCCCAGGAGGATTTTTTTCACAGTAAAACGGCGCTGCTTGTTTTCCCAGCTTCACCCCGGGATGATGACAGCAACACGGACAGTGACACTGACATCGCCACAGAAAAGGTATGTGACGAAGCTCTTCAGAGGCTGTTCAACTCCGACACTGAAGATGATGACTTCAGTGGTTTCAGTGCACAGGAGGACGATGAATAAAGTAATCAATACATTTTTTGTTTTGTTTGATACTGATCAGTTCAGTTAAACTATGTTTTCAATTCAGTAGATATCTGCGGCTTTTAGCCCGGTGCGGCTTATATTGAGGTGCGCTCTATAGTCCGGAAATTACGGTTAGATCTTGAAAGCAATTTAAAAATGATCTAATCTAATTTAGATACCACTTTTAGCATCAATTTATAACTAGGTATCGATTCTTTTGACAACACTACTTGGAATACTGTTCCTCTTCTCCCAAACTAACCCAGCCATCATTATTATTGTCACTGAGGCTATGTTGGGCCACCCCCCTGCTAGCAGTGATTTTTTTCCTGTGGTTCCTCCCCCTCCTGCTGCAATTGCCACGGTTTGCACCCCCGGGGCTGAATCCATCACCAGTGGAGTTTTCATCGCCACCATATCCCCCTCCCCCCCCCCCACCACCACCACCACCACCACGGTGGAGCAAGGGATCAGACCCAGTACGAGCTGCTCGAGCCCCCCGCCACGTCTCTTTCCCCGACCACGGACACGGTGACGCGGAACATCGGACAAGGGCTGGATGGGCTGCTTGTGTAACCGCGTCGTCGCTGACAGACTCCCTGTTGCTGCGCGCTGAAGCCACGCTTTCCGTCCCGCTAGAAGACCACAGATCATCCTCGGAAAGGAAATATTCTTCCTCCGAGTCCGAATCTGCCAGTACTAGACGAAGAGCTTCGTCAGCACTGAGCATTCCTCTCGGCATTGTGTTTTTTTCCTCTACCACTCGCTCGCTCTCACTCGCTCTGACACCCTCTGCCACTGGTGGGCGGGGTTCAAGCTCTAACTACTCCAAAAGTTTGAATAGTAACACACCCACAAATGCTGCTTCGATTGAAGTTACAGGTGTCTGCCACCCCGCAGTGTAACATATTAACTGCATGAGGGCTCAATTATGCTGCTGTGGCTTATTAAGTCCAACATTGCTGCTTGTCCAACATGTCTGCTATGTTCCTACCTTTGTATGTGTGTGTATGAAGGTGCAACCTAGAACAATTAATAGAACTGATAGCAAACTCTACATACTTCAAATGTGATGGAACCATCTATAAACACCTGGAAGGCTTTGCCATGGGAAACCCATTATTAGCTACCCTTGTAAATCTTTCATGGAAAAGCAAAAAGCAATGGCAACTACACCCACCCCCCAACTGCAAAATCAAGTTAGTAAGTTAAAGCCATTCTGTTTATTGTTTAAAATATTATTTATTTTTGACGAATTTAACCAACCTTGACACAAATACTTTTTCTATTATTTTGGAAAACTGAGGTTTATGTGAAGTGGACACCCCTACAGTATATGGTTCATAAATGTTGGGTTGGTGGGTGGATAGATAGGTGCATGGATGAGTCACTGAACAGAAGGGTGGGTGAATGGACAAACAGGCAACTATACCTCCTTCATTGTCTTTGCCGTCATTACAAAGCATTTCCATGGCAACGTGGCAGCCATCCCCTCTCCATCCTGGCTGGCAGATGCAATGCCATCCACTAGACTCCAGAGTACATCGGCCATTGTTGTTGCATAGACCTGGGCAGCCTTCTGTTCACAGGAACAGAAATTCATTCAGAAACACTACGTGACTCATTCTGTACAATAGCCCTCAATCTAAAAAAGCTAGCAAGCTGAACACTTTTGTACTCTTTATGCTAACTGGAACAGAACTGAGACAATGCTTGTGTTTTGAAAACATCACAAGGTTGACATTTTTGTAGAATTGGGACCAGAGAGAATTTTATTCACTGTTAAGAGAAATGTGCCCTTAAGTCTAAATAAACAGCGGACAGAAACATAAACACAATTCTGAACTAAAGAAACAAACAGTCCTGGCCTCAGGAACAGACCTAATTGAGTGTCTAATAACCATCTTTGGTATTTCTTACTGTGTCTAGTTTCTAATTCCATAATGGAACCAAATGGAACCAAAGAACCAAAATGGAATTAAGTCTAATAATCATTTTATTAATTTGGGGGATAACTGAAGAAATTCGATTTCTGGTTTGTTCTAAATACTGTTTTCAGTAATGTTCAAAATGTATATCAGCTTGAGTGGGAAAAAACACTGGACTTCAAAAGCCTGATTAAATTAATCAAGTTATTGAAATAAGTTTTATTCTGTGCAATTAATATGTTTTCCTATAAATGGATATTAAATTAAATAACAGACATTTATCAACACTTAAACAACTGACAATTGGCTGGTGAAAATTTTCATATTGTAGTTTCACATGAACTGATATTATGAGAGCTGTTGGTCACAACAGCTACTGTATGTAAACATTCTATTAGCATCTGAAAAACAACAAAAACCTGTTTAAGACAAATGATAAAAATGACACCTGGACACAAAATAATAATATGGAATAATTGGAAAGCATAAATAAATGTAACCGTTACAGATGGCGGAGAGACAAGATGGTGGCATATGTGTAGGACGCGCACGTTTCGCTCCCAACCGGTTTTCCTAATTATGGTATTTTTCAGTCTTTTCTATCAAACTCGACACCTATTGCTTCACTTTAAATGAGAATGATATCGACAAATGATAAATGACCCAAACTTGTATGGCTCCTTTCAGAGTCAGAGGACTCATTACCATTCACAAACACTCAAACATTGATGGTGATGAACTACAATATAGCCACAGCTGCCCTGGGGAACACTGACATGAGCTAGGCTTTCGAGCACAGGTGCCACCGGTCCCTCCGACCATCACCAGCAATCAAGGTAGGTTAACTGTCTTGTCCAAGGATACAAAAGCAGAATTCTCTGCCAGGAGCTGGGATCAAACCTGCAACATTCTGATTACTTGACAACCCACAATACCTTTTGAGCTACTGCTGATCAGCTACTGCTTTAGATCCAGGGGCTTTGTTGCACTGGAAAGTTCAGCAGAATGGCAGCAAATCTCAAAAGGAACAAAAGTACTTGCTCTGCAGCCTCTAATGCAGGTAGGTCCTCAGGTCGGAGTGATTATTTTGCCACTGAAGCTTCAGCCTTATCTTAATTTGGGCCAGCAGTAGCTCAGTAGGTAGTGTTGGTTTGGATTGCAGGATCAGTAGAAGAAAATTCTTTATTGAGTTCTTGGGCAAGACACTTAACCCACCTCGTCTGTTGGTGGTGGTTGAAGGGACTGGTGGTGCCTGTGCTCAGCAACCTTGCCTTTATCAGTGTGCTCTAGGGTAGCTGTGGATACAACCAGCGTGCAAATGTGCGTGTGAATGGATGTATGATACACTGTAGAGTAAAGCGCTTTGGAATCCTCTGGCTCTGAAAGGCTCTATATAAATACAGCTCATTTACCATTTAGCTCCACCAACTTCAAGCCCTAGCAAGATGGAGATGTCGAAGTTGAAGGATGAAATGCTCAAGGCACTGAAATCATAGGGTAATGGAGGTGGACAGCGGACTGTTTACCTGGTCTTACGAGGTTACCTACCCTGCAGAACATAGAATTTAATATCTTAACTTGACAGACTGAATATGCATTTTCTAAATCATACTGTGAATACTATGAGCATAGAGAGAGAGAGCGGGACCTCTGCTCACACATCAGCTACATTTAAAGTCAACCACTGTTGGAATTTCGGGGAATTAATTGTTTGGACAATGAAATTATCAATTCACGTTTTAGTTGGTTTTATTGATTGTTGTATTTGTCTGAATCTGCCTCCATTGGATTTTTTTTTTCAACGGTGAGTCCAAATCTGGTTGAGGAACTAGAAAAGGATATCTCTTGTGTCCAAGACTGTTTCTGCAATCTGCAAATCAGAAAATCTCCCAAACTATAATGTTTTCCAGCCAAGATCTTTAAGAAACTTTCAGCACCTCTCTCACCATTGCTGTTGTCGGCATTTAATGAGCCCTCAACTGTTTGGTCACTTCCGCCAACTATTTGTCAAGCTATTATTTCTGAGCTTTTGAAAAAGATAAAAGCCCCTTATGATGCCGCTCTTACTGACTGCTGTGGCTTTTAAACGCCACCTTGCCATGGTGGAGGGAATTGAATGTCCCAATGATACTAGGAGCTAAGTTGTCTGAGGCTTTGTGCCTCTGGTAGGGTCACCCATGGCAAACAGGTCCTAGGTGGGGGATCAGACAAAGAACTGCCCAAAGACCCCTTATGAGGAAAGACATAGGTGTTCCAATGCCCGGATGCAGGTCATAGAGGCCCCCTCAGGAGCCAGGCCTGGAGGTGGGGAACGCTGGCAAGTGCCTTGTGGCCAGGCTTTCGCCCACGGAGCCCAGCCGGGCACAGCCAAATGAGGAAATGTGGGTCCCCCATTCCATGAGCTCACCACTCGTGGGAGGGGCCAAAGAGGTCAGGTGCAGAGTATGATGGGTGGTAGTCAAGGGCAGGGATCTTTTGCAGTCTGATCCTCAGCTACAGAGGCTGTCTCGTGGCATGTGGAATGTCACCTCTCTGGTAGGGAAGGAGCCTGAGTTGGTGTGTGAGGTTGAGAAGTTCTGACCAAATAGAGCCTGACTCACCTCAACACATGGCTCTGGCTGGAACCAGTTTCATTGAGAGGGGTCGTACACTCTACCACTCTGAAGTTGCACCCACTGAGAGGCACTGAGCAGGACTGGGCATACTTGTTGACTCAATCTTGGTGCCTGTACGTTGGGGTTTAACCCGTTGAACGAGAGGGTAGCCTCCCCCCGCCTATGTGTGGAGGATGGGTCCTGACTGTGATTTGTGTTTATGCACCAAATTACACTTCAGCCTTCCCACCCTTTTTGGGAACCTCGGAGGGGGTGCTGGAAAGTGCTCCTTCGGGGCCTCCCTTGTTCTGCTGGGGGACTTTAATGCTCACGTAGACAATGACAGTGAGACCTGGAGAGGTGTGGTGGGGAGGAATGACCACCTTGATCTGAATACGAATGGTGTTTTATTATTGGATTTCTGTGCTAGTCATGGATTGTCCATAATAAACACCATGTTCAGACATAAAGGTGTCCATATATGTTCCTTGCACTAGTATAACAAAGGATGCAGCTTGATGATAGACTTTGTTGTTGTTTCATCTGATCTGCAGCCGCATGGCATGTCTTTGACATCCTGGTCAAGAGAGGGGCAGAGCTGTCAACTGACTACAGCCTGGTGGTGAGTTGGCTCCAGTGGTGGGGGAGGATGCTGGTCAGACCTGGCAGGCCCAAACATATTGTGAGGGTCTGCTAGGAACATCTGGCAGAGTTTCTTGTCAGAAGGAGCTTCAATTCCCACCTCCGACAAAACTTCCAAAACGTTCCGGGGAGGCGGGGGACATTGAGTCTGAATGGTACCTGTTCCGTGCCTCCATTGTTGAGGCAGCCGACCAGTGCTGTGACTGCAGGGTCGTCAGTGCTGGTGTCGTGGCGGCAATCCCCAAACCCGCTGGTGGACACGGGGGTTAGGGACGCTGTCAAGCTGAAGAAAGAGTCCTGTTGGCCTGTGGGAATCGAGGCAGCGGATAGGTATCGGCAGTCAAAGCGGAATGCAGCTCGGGTGGTCGCGAAGACAAAAACCCAGGTGTGGGAGGAGTTCCGTGAGACCATGGAGCAAGATTTCCACACGGCTTTGAAGAGATTCTGGTAGACCATCCGGTGCCACAGGAGGGGAAAGCAGTGTTCTACCAACACTATTTATAGTGATGTGCTGCTGACCTCTACTCGGAGCATTGTGGATCGGAGGTCACTGAGGTGGCCATAAAGCTCCTCGGTGGCAAGGCTCCGGAGGTGGATGAGATTTGCTCATTAAGGCTCTGGATATTGTAGGGCTGTGTTCGTCTGTTTTCTTCCTTGTGTTTGTATTATGATTTGGCATAATTTGGAAACCTGATTTGTGTCTATTTATATTATTTTTGTTTGATCCAATATATCTGGGTGGGTGGGGTTGTGAATTTATGTTATTTTAGGTGTGTTTTATTTAAATAATAAAAAAAATGCTTAGATGAGCCTAAGGAGCAAGAGGCCTTTCAGAAGGTCACCTTGAGGAGAAAGTAGTTTGAGACAGCAGGATTTGAAGTCTTATTTCCTGATGTTTTAACATCTCGCTTTAGAGACAGCAACACAACTACCACTGACTCTGCTTTGCAATGTTTATGTTTTATCTCTACAAATAACACAAGCCTGAAGGACTTCTGTCATGTTGTGGAGTTGCTAATGCTAACAGTTAGCTTCTGCTAGTCAAGACATCTTTTGCTGTTTCTTGGAAGCTAAACCAAGACCAGCCTTTCATAAATGAAAATGGGTGATTCCATGAAAGTTAATTCACAGTGTGATGTAGATCTGTCAGGCTTTTCCAATTGGAGAGTTTCACGTCTACTTTCTATCAAAGGCTAATGCAGGACGTTTGGTTAGAAGACTAGTTTCATGTTCAGCCTGCATGAAAAATTCAGAGTGGCCAATTTTAATCAGAGATAATAATTAAAACTTTTTTTTCAGTGTTTCACACTTTTGATAAAAAGACCCTGTTAAAAAACCTTTATAGATGATAGTAAAATCATATTTACAAATGTACAAACAACTAAAAGCAAACAAAAAAAAAATCATGATTAAAA